GGAAGAGTTTGCCTATTAGGCGAAATATCCATTAAAAACCGTAAGTTAGACGAATTGTCCTTAAGCAAATTGTCCGTTAGGCAAACTGTCTGTTAGGCAGTGTGTCTTTAGGCAAACTGTCGTTAACCAAAATGTCTTTAGGCAGATTGACCGGATACCATAAAAGGAACATTCAGTGTGCAAAATTGAAGAAGTATCAACGAAAAGTTGATGAGAAGAATGAGTGAGGCAACCAAGGAAAATATTTCGTGAGCTTATAATTGAACTCGGTTTGAGTTATCGTGACAAAAGTTCGTATTTCACGAACTTCCGTGTTACCTCAATTTTATAGTGTGCCGTTCGAAACAACGGAATGGATACTGTTCTCGTACCAAATTTAAGAGAAACAAGTTTATTCCAGCAAAATATTGCGCTCGAACCTTCCCAGGACCAACGGTTTCGGCGTTCGGCTCCCACGAAATGCGATTTTTCTTTCGCTCTGGTTCACAGGGAACGGGAAATGGCTTCAAGGCACTGTATAAAATACGAAAAGCTTTTAAGGAAGAAATTCCCACCAGAGGTAAATTCAGTGCTACTGTTCATTCACTGTTTAAAAATGTGATAGTTCAATTTCACTTCTAATCTGGTGTTCAGATAACATCGAATGCACGACCGATTGACAACGAGATGTCATTTGTTTTAATAGCAAAAAATGTGTTTGATTAGTGCCACAGATACTTGTTTGCAATTGTTCATCAATTCAGAACAACCACTGAGCAGTGATGCAGCTGAAGAATTCATTGGTGATTCATAAATAAACGTTGTTATGCAATTATGCGATATTCAAAAACTGTTCTCACAAAGGAATACACTGGTTAGAAACAATTTAGAAACATCCCGTCATTGTGGCCAGAGAATAACAAGAACGGATGATCGCACAACCGGCTGGCTTGTGTCACCCGGTTATCCAATCAAATACAATAAAGACCTCATATGTGATTGGGAGATCAAAGTGAGGCCTGGATATCGGGTAAGCGTTTCTTGTTGATCTCGAACAGCTAGTGTTTTTCCACCCTATGCAACAAAAACTGAGCCGTTCACTGCATGCAACCGCACGTGTAATGGAAACAAGAATAGGTGATCTTAGTATATTCGAGTAGTCTTTCACTTTTTCAAAATAGGAAAAGGGTCAAATGGGAAATGAAGTGTCTATTTGAAAAGAAAAGCCCAATGAGTGATGCTAGTCAATATCGTAGAACGTATGACAATATCATTGCCGCGATATATTCGTTGTTGAAAGCTATGTTAGTGACATTCTCGAACCTAAGCAAACGATCAGAAGTAATAAGTGTGTTGAATGCGCTCGAATTGTTGTGCAATTCAGATTTTGCTGAACCTAGTAAAAATGGAGGTAGAAGGTGCAATGTCGGATGAATCGATAAACTGTCAAAATGCCGTGATTCGCGTGGACGCTGATAGTGGCGTAAAGGCTGGCCCGAGCGTTCGAGAAATCTGTGGAACCGTTGAGAGTGTCGTTCAACCGATTATTTCAAAAAATAATACCGTCAGAATAAGGTAAAATTTTCAGTTATTTTTACCAATACAACGTCATTATTAATGCACGAAATTGTCATAGCATCCGTGTTCTCTCGATCAGCTACTTGATTCTCCAGTATTCTTCTAAAACACATTCCACCGAATTGTCGCTTGGTCTTACGTTAACGATCGGTCGTGTCACTAAGTAGATCAATTCCATATCCTTGCGAATCATGCATATGAAAACCATCCCACTGATTCTTCGCTGAATTGCAGTTTCTTCACTTCTCCAGACAAAGTGAATGGACTCAAGGGTTTTAACTTTACATGGACCGAGGTGAAACTTATCAAAGGTTATTTTTGTGTTCATTTCTACTTCTGTTTACAACACTGATAAAAATTTTCTCAATTTAGTGCTCTTCACTATGAAATTTCATAGGAAACTATCATTTTGTTACATCCTCAGATGAAATTGTAAATGTAATCGTTCGTTTATTACAGATGATCGTGAGTGCAGCAGTCCATCGCAATACCTATGTACATATACGAAACTCTGCATTGATGCGCGGCTGCGTTGCAATGGTGACGAGAACTGTGGTCTTCATGACGACACTGACGAAGCACATTGTGAGTGGTCTGCTGCCCGCTCTGCAGTGATTGAATCTCACCACTTCATTAACATTCACTTGTTTTTTATCGTTTCTCTAACGCTTTCTCACCACACGCATCCATGAACTTCAAATCAACTTTCTGATAATGGCTTTCCGGCAGTAAGTATTATCTCAACACAGTCAGTAAAATGGTAAATGGCATACATAAAAGGTATCCTTTTTTTAGGAGAAAATTGATTCTGATTCTATCACAGTCTTTTCCTGTTTTACATATCGCGAAAGAATCTATAAACCTTCTACTGAACCACTGAGCTATTGAAAGTTTAAAAAATGCATACAAAGCTGATCTAAGTGACTAATTTAAAGTTCCTGTAATGCTCGACATCCTGGGACTTTCCAACTGACTGTGAGCGGCGAAGAAGGGTTAGACGGGCAGTTTGGATTTTGTTAAGTGTCTTACTTGGCTGGATGCAGATTTGTTTTGACTTGAGGAGTCGTTCAATGCAGCTATAGTGCATTTATTGGTGAAAATCACTTGCATGTCCGACGGATGATGAGTTCATCCGTGATTGATATCTGCAGTGTTCGTATTGTAATTTGTCGATTGCATGGAATCTGAGCGTATGGAAGATTGATGGAACAATTCAGAAGTATGTTAGCACGATGTTATTGTTTTCAGTTGTTGTTCTCGCCAGTCATCTTTGTGTTCTGAAACGACTGTATTGATCGATAACCAGCCGTCATCGAGTTTTCAGTTTTCCAGTACCAAAAATCAGTACACTTCGAAAATTTCACACTGTTTTTCATCGGCACCTTTTTGTGGTTACTTTTAATAATGCTCTTTTACTTGAAATTTTTTGAAATGGCATTTTATTGTTCTCCACAATTGTGCGCAGTAACCAGATTGATGAGTATTCGTTGAACCATTAAGATACTGCTCCTTGTTAGTTGCATTTGAAATACCGTTCTTTGAAGACTTTGTGAGTGATTTGCGCAACCGAAAGTAGTTAAGAATTTGTGGAACAACTAATAGAACACCCGCACTTTGAATAACATAGAGTACGAAACGTCCGCTTGCCGGTGATCGACTGATGATGCGGATGGATAGTTCATAACATGGGAGGTGAAAACCTTCAAAATGCACTGTTTTGGTGCCTTGAAACTGTGCGACTAATTTGGTTTGACTCGTGATTGCCGTTTGCAGTTGTTTCTTTCGAACTATATTGTATATAACTTTTTACCAATATCATTTTGTGACCGGTTTGTGGTCCTTGGAGTGGAGCAAATCCATTAGGATATGTTCCTGATTCAGATTCACTTTCTGGTATATCAATCTATTCCACATAGTTGATTGGTTGTATGATATAGAATAATGCTAAGAAGTTCATAATTATTGCAGTCAAGCTTGATTCTAATTCTGTTGGTAATTGGAAAGATCATTTATTTGAGATAAGAGATTTAGAGTGGAACTACCACTGCTCTTTCTGTTGCAGTTTCAAAGTTTGAAGCGTTTCCTTCTCTTGATGCAGTTGCTATCAGATTGCAAAAGTGAACGCAAAGGATGCACATTTAAAAATCTATCACTGCAAATCCTTTCTTGGAGCTTCTCAGAAACCAGATGGTAATAAATAATTTGTTCTTTTAAACTGTGTTGTGAAGTAACGAAAAAATGACTGTTGTTGAACGCTGTACCGGAATGAAACAATAGTTTATACTAACAGAAATGATTTTGTGACTTCGTTACATGTTGCAAATGTTAACGATGCTACCGATAAAAGTTTTGTTTTGTTTTGTAATCGTTTATGCAATTCACCGATAACTCATGCATTGTGTGTGTGTTTGTGCGTGTGCATATATGTCATATATGTGTCATTTTGCCTGCATCATCTTTTGTTCATCTAATTGTTCGTTTCAGTTGTTCTGTGTGTTTTTTTCATCACTAAAGCACGTTGATTGTACGGATCGTTTTTTAAGCGAACTTATGCCGTCATCTAGCCATCATTTTCATCCAGTCATACGCAGTTTTATGTGACTTTGCTTGGATCGCCAGAGCTGTTGAAGGTCATTTGCGAAATTTGTAAATATCCTTCAAGCAAGCAATAAATTATGAATTTGTTGTTTGTCCTAAGGAAGCGTGCATTTCTCGTCGAAGCGAACTCTGCATTAGTATTCAAGAAATGAAATCTGATTAATAAGCTGGATAAGTAAACCATAAATATAAACTAATGACTCAAACCACAACATAACATTCAAATAATGGGAAGGAGTGATGATTAGAATCGCATCTTCAATGTCCTTTTCACTCGTCGTTACTTATCGTTAGTTTAAAATATAACGAAAACATAGTTGAATGTTAATTACTGTTCACTATTTGCTCTGATTATTCTCATCTGCACTATTTTTCCTTTTTTGATTGCTGATATGATGAAATTGTGTTGATCGTTTCACTGAGCCGTGTCAGCCGATAATTTTTTGTTAGGAACAAGAAGCAATATTTGAACGCTGGTGTAGTGTGACAGTTTTTTGAAGCAATGATGAACTGACTGCATCACTTACGTGTGATGCCCAAAGAGACTAAATTTATATGCATGATGAGTAAGTACATGTTCTGACAAAATAAAAAGAGTATTCTTTACAGCCAATCCCATCAGCGTCACGTAAACCGCTTTGAATGACGATTAGTTTTCTTGAAGGGTACGGTACCGTTTTAACAGCAAAAAATTACGATGTTTGAAGCAACTGATTCGTAATTCCACTATTATCTTTATCAGCATCAGATCGAAGACAAGTTTGCCATATAGATCCAGTGTTTCTTGTGGGCTCTTATTTTGTGCCTCATTCCCTTCACCTTCCTTCCTCTCGAATGTGAGGCAGATTGCCGTTTTCCTCTGATGAATGATGTATGAAGGAATCATGCAACCGATCGAAATTAATTCTCCAGCTTCTTCAGTTTCCTCCCTGAACTCCTCAAATACCCCGTCAGGAATACTCTCCCTTTACCCCTTCTGTGAGTATCATTGATGTATGTGATAAGTGATAAATTAGCCAAAATTAGTGAGTTATTGAACTGTAGATGGAAAAGCCGTAAAAGAGCACAGCAAGCGTTCGTTTTCTATCATTCTGTAACAGCTTTTCAGTGTGTTCACTCAAAGTGAGCATGCATAATGGGTGCATGAAGAAGACTGAAAATGAATATGCAATTAGAGTATTTAGTAAGAGTTGAGCTGTTGATATCAGAAAATTGTGCGGTCATTCATCGATAAGCGTCGATTGCAGGCAGTAAGCTCGAAAGTGCAACCGATCTTCAAACGGTTCTTTTCGCTGCAACCTTTTCTGGTTGCATATTTCTTTTCATTTTCGGCTTCTTTTGCTATCTGTTCAAGAAGAAGTTTGAACGGAAGAAGAACAAGAAACGGCGTCGATATGCTACTTCAGGCTTGAAGCATCAACGCCAGCCATATCGATCTCAAAAACCAGTATCGAAAGCCACCATTAATCGGCCAATGGATATTCAGTTAGTGATGATAATAATTTAGGATTTAATTGAGCGTTGTTTAGTTTTTTCTTCCGTATTTTTGTGAAACAACACGTTTCCTAAAAATATATGCCTCATATTTTACATAAAGCCAATATGGAAACGTCACTGATCGAGAGTGGAAATACACGTGTGAATTTGGTAAAATTGTTCAGCATTCGCTTTTTACAGCTTGCTACCGTCACCAGCGACCCAGCGTCTCACTCATCATGATATAACTGGCGTCCTACCACCTTCCAACCACCAAACCCAACTAACATCCATTTATCGACAACCATTACATCAATCAACCAGTGAAACTTTTTACGGTTAAATCTAAATGGAAATAAAGGAGAGATTTTTTCTAATTTTGATCATTATTCCATTGATTAAAATGTATAAGAAATGATAATAACCATTCTGTCGATTGGACTCGATCAATTAATTAGAATCGTCATCAAATGAAATGTGTATTCCGAACTCATATAAGGTCTAAATACAAAAAAAGATGTGTTGCAACTTGCATGTTGATATGTAATCATGATTCGATTCGCTATTTTCCTCTATAGTTTCGAAATTTTCATTTTATATTTTAATTGATGTAATTCCATACGTTTTTTATCATTGCATTTTGTTTCCTTTACGATTCTTTATTGTCACTTGAGAGCAGATATGCAACAAAATCAAACCACCTCGCAATATCAGGTAACATGCAGAAGTGAATTCCTGAGAGTTTTGATCGCAATTTGTCATTGTTTCATTTATACGTACTTTTGGAAGTTCATGCGATTAGTGTTGTATATTGTGATTCTGTGAAAGGAAAGCATCAGATTTACTTGCAAACTATCGTAATTTCATCTAGTTTTTAATGTTGCCAGCGATGGTCATGGCGTGAATTTCGTGGGGTTGATATGGACAATAAAACAAACTGATCTTCTCAACTAAATTTTTCCATCGAAAAATTTTTACGGCTATCAGAAAGCTACTTGCAATGCATCAACTCACCGTTGCTCATTATGAGTAATCCTTTTGGACAGACCTGAATCTTGAATGAATTATTTCTGAATCAGCCGCTCAATTTCATGCCACCAACATGCAAATGTCAGTCACGTGCCTTTTTGTTAGAAAAATGTTTTTGAGTGCATTTTTGTATTTGAAATATGGCGTCAGAAGCATGTTGAACTGTTGCCACAATAGGATCGTGGTAATTTTGTTGTGTGTATAAGTGATATTTATGTTAAGACTGATGCACAATTACCGCCCTTTTTTGATTTATACCTGATTTACCACTATATTATTGGACCATTACCAACCAATGAGCATTTTCACTTCGAAATAAAACCTTTCTATACGTTTATGATATTCAACAAATGAGACAAGAACACATGAAAACAGATGCAACGTTAGAATTAATTCGTTATTCATCCGAAAAAATGAAGCGAATAGGTGAAAGGTGTATCACATTCGTACGCAGTTTCGATGGACACTAACTTGCAATTGTTTTTTGTGGTTAGCGGCAGTGTGAGCGATAGTCTGATATTCGCTACATTAACGGAGCTGCTTTTTTGATAGTCTAATCGTTACGCGGCACTAAGTGCCGAAAAAAAACGCGCTACTTTCTTTGATCAGTGTTTTAGCGAGCGACTTTTTTTGAAACTTTCTCTAACTCGTTACTTTTTATCTGTAGGGGAATGCTTATTTTTGTCAACATCGAGATATTTAAAACATATGTTTGTGCTCTAGCAGTGACAATTGCTCATTAAACTTATCGTTCAGTTCTTTTCAGTGCTGGAGCACAAACATATCGCACACGTGGATGTTAAATATTCGATCATACTTCGAATACTTGCTACGAGTGCATCACTAGCATTCCGTTTGAGCCCATGAAGCTGTGTGCCCTTAAATAAGTTCAGTGACAGTGAAATGATGTTCTTCACTTTTATTCTCGCCAGGAAAGCATATAAATGATATTCATTCGTATAATAACATGCGCAGTAATGTTACGTGCAAACGATTACAGTAGGGCGGATAACCGCTTCATTTATTGCTAGGTAGGGGAGAAAGGTTCAAGAAGAGTAGAAAATCAATTCATATGCGTTATCTTACTAATAGCGATATTAAGTGTTCAGTGGTAGGATGTCTGAATTAACAAATTGAAAATGAATAAAACTAGGTGGGTGAAGAAACATTTTTTTTCCACCTCTTTGACTCCTATTGTTGAATAGTTTGCATATTGGAAGTCTGCATCTCNGGGGGGGGGGGGGAGGGGAGTGGATTCCAGGCTCTAACGATTCTATTTGCGAACGGGAGTTTTGCAGTGCTTAATCTGCAATGTTTACCAGCCAGTTTTAGGTAATTATTTTGGCGGATTTGTTTATTGTTTCAGGAAAATTCAAAAATTCTTCTATATGGAGATCAACCTGATATTGAATGATGTTGCAGGCTTCGCAAAGATCAACAAAAAATCTTCGCATTTCTAAAATTTCAAATCATTATATTGTTAGTCTGTCATGATATTCGACCTGTTACTGAATTTTCCACGTTGACTCTTCATGACGAATCGTGTTCATCTCTTCGAAAATTTTTAACGAAATTAACATAGTGTTTATTACCGTATTGATCAAGGAAAGACCAATGTGAAGAGGTACATTCTAGGACGGGCGAATTTAGGCGACCACGTACTTTGCTTAGTACGGATAAGGTGTTGAAGCTGAACGTTATCAATGTGAGTGATGCTCTAATGTTAGCTTTTCTAACTATACTGGAAACGTGATGATGGCATTTCAATCATGAGTTGCTTTTGACACTTGATCTTGGTTGAGTGAAGAGAGAGTTAATTCTTGGTTGTCAATGTTGAGGGAGTTATTAGGATTGTTCTTACCAATTCTAATCAGTTTCGTTTGTTCTGGAGATAGTGGTAGTAACCAATTTGATGAATATTGGTCTATGAAGTTAAATATAGTTTGTAAATTGTTGGAGAACGTGAAGGCCTTAACATCATGTGCGGAAATGAAGCATATTGAATCTGGAAGAAGGCACTCTGGAAGAGCTTTAATAAGAATAAAAAGTGAGGGGGTCGCGGAAAGGGAACTCGAAGAACGCCACTGCTGATATTTTCTGACTAGCTGCATGATTCAGCAATTTGGACTGATCGAAGACAGTTCGTAGGGACGTCTCGGATCCGAGTGGATAGACAACTTGGTATGCCATATGCGTGTAACTTTAGGATACCAAATCAAATGGTTTTTAAAATCAAAATATGTAGTGTCGGTGTAAACTCCCTTGTCTAACTGAAATACTCTATTTTGTTAGGATCAAAATAGAGTGGCAGTGATTGATGGCCTATCGAGAAAGACACATTGGAAAGGGGAAAACAGCTTGTTCATTCTAGAATAGTTTTTTGGTTTGGTGGCAGTTATTTTTTCTAAAACCTCAGAAATTGGGTAGGTTAATAAGATAGGATGGTAGTCTGCGGATTTATAGTGAATCTTTTCTACTTATAGGATTGATGACCGGTTAGTTCCACCATGAAGATACTGACAATGAGCTAGGCGATACAATACGATGCAAACAATGCACAATTTCAGATGAAATGTTCAGCGTGTTGATGTTCTTAAAATGAAACGAGAGAGTGTAATGTGGACTGTTGCCAGTTGATTGCTTTTTATTTTAATTTTTGTTGTCGTCACTTGGTTATTTTTTCATTATTGATGTTTGTTTTTACTATTGAATGGTTTTTATTGTTGGATTCATTTCAGTAAAAATTTTCGACTGTTTAATTTTTTTCCTGGACAAGTAAATAGTACAATTGCAATTTTTGAAGGAAGCTTTGAAAGTAGCGATTAGCGGGCTGATTTTTGCTAAATAGCGTTTTAGCGAATATTTTTGCTACTTTTCCCAGATAGCAATACTTTTAGCGAAAAAAACTCGCTTCCTTCTCGTTAGCTGAACTGATTAGGGGATTATTTTTATCGGAAAAAGAGTATTTTTGAGGTCACTCAGCGATTAGCGGAGCTACACGTTTTCAATAGCTTGCACATCACTGCAAAATCAGTTATGAATTTCACTGCAATTTTGCATGCATACACGCTACGTCATCATTTGAGAGCATGCATATCAAGTGCAATGTTATGATAATTCTTATCTAGCAGATTCAGCACGTTTGGAATTGTAATCAGTTAACAAAGCTCTTTTGCATTAAGCTTTTCATCGTGCTCTTGTTAGTCTCACTTGAACATCTTTATATGAGTTATGAGTAAAGCTGCGAGTGATGATCAGTTTTAATTGTCATTCTGTTTTTAAAATATTTATTCAAATACGCTGTGATAAATATGATTGATTATTTTCTACAGAAGAAGAGTGTTTGTTAATTTCATATTCTTATCGAGGATTGGCATTCGCTTTGCATTCACATTCTTATGATAAATGTCATAGGAATTCACACGTCGGGATGATGATGTTCAAATAGTGATGGCATCACTCTTTTGGTTTCCTCGTAGGATGTTCAGATTTTAAACGATTTCAAAGAAGATATGATATGCATTTCGATGAAATGGTTTCACAAACATGTTAAAACGCAAGAATTTCATCAGTTGAAGGCGTCAACTGATTGGAAGCGGGTTTTCATTATAAATAATCACAATTGTACACTAAAATAGTATGTTTGCAATTCGTATAAGATGCATTCGATTGTTCCGGATCTGAGTGAAATTGCAACGAATAATAATCAATTAATTCGAGAGGAATTCTTCTTTCGAGGAGGCAATTCTGAGACATCAACTCGCCCGCCCTATCTGATATCTGATCGGACTCGCATCTTTTATAGTTACACTCAATTTCAATCGCTCGTCGCTAGTCGTATGCCACATTTGCAACTTGTCTCATCCTGTTTCACTCGAAAGTTGGTTTCGTTCTCTTGTTCAATTCAGTCACATTTTCTGCATGCCATAATATATAAAGATGTATCTTTGTAATTTATCTGACCGTTTTTCATCAGCTAATTATCACGACTCAATAGATGCTTTCTTTAAGGGATCCCCATTAAACAAAATTCTGAGAACCGTATTTTTCCCATTTCTTGAATAAACCTCTCTTCTTTGAAGACATTCTTCCAAAACGAAAGATATACACACTCAAATACTGAACTGATTAATACACTTACGAGCTTTTGCCAGAAATGTGCTTGAAACGGTTCTCCAAAATGATTTAAACGAATCCGGGTACTGATCCAATTTATTCGGTACCCTTATTCTCATTGCTTCTTTTCGCGTGATCAGCAGCATTCTTATTCTTTACAGCACGAAAACTTGAAAAAAGCTTCTTAATCACGCAAGTATACTGTTTTTTAATCAAGTACATTGCTAATTTTTTAATCAAATAAGTATATTTCACGCATGAAAACTTATAAATGATGCAAAGTCTTCGCAAAGGTACATTTAATTATACTTTCATTTATTAAAAAATATATAACTGATTACGATCAATGCCCTCTAAAGAATGCAGTGAAACTATATTGGTGTATCTGTGAAAATCACAAAAGTTAACCGTGAGATTAGTGAAACTGATTGAATCATTTTTTCTAAAAAAGACAAAACTTGGAGTGGAATGGATGTAAACAGCTTAGATATATAATTAACCAATGTCTATGAAACATCTTTCATCCATCTCCAAAGTGTGAATATTATCAACGTTTAATTTATTTGGTTGTTTCTCTTTCAATAATCATTCGAATCGTTGATTGAAAGAACTATTCTCCCAATTATGAGACGATAATTCGAAATGAAAAATATTTTTGCTTAACTAATAATTGCATAATTCTTTTTCAATTGAATATTTATAAACATGCTAATTGTTGTGTTATTGAATTGAATTATTTAACCAGTATTTGGTGATGCATTTCTCTCAGTTCATTTGATTTCTTCATTCATTCACGCTATCAGCGCGACGTTTTCAACCCTCACTCTCACTGCTGCTGTGAATTTTTTTGTGTTGAAATTGTACTTCACGAAAGTTTTCCTCTCAAAAGCTTTTCAACTAATGCTGAACTAGAATCGGATGAATAGCCGAACACTTCAAAAATATTGGCTGCTTTACTGGATCAACCAATCTGAACTGTATTAGTCAATATATTATGAATGCTAATGATTGATTGATGTTCTAATCGATTAAAGAGAAGAATTCGATAATCAAAAATATAATCCGCTGAGTCAACGAAACAAAATGACTGCAGAATCGAACCATCTGCAAGCTGATCACATCAATACGCGTCAATCACCGCAGCGATATAGCGATGGTGAAGCAGCGATCGATCCGAAAATTGCCCATACGAGGTTCACGACGAAATCCTTCAGTTTGCGCGAAGTTAAGAATCGAATTTTGGCCAAGAATAATTCCGATGTTGTCCGTCAAACTTCATCAACGCATTTTCAATCGGCTGATTCTATCTGCAGTAATAATAAACGCGAATGTTTTCCTATGACAACCGATCCGAAAGTGGTTTCAAATGATATTGACACATCGATTGATTCGAAAGGGCGTGCACGGCCACTGAATAGAGCCCGAACTTCGATGACGCGTTCACGTTCATTTTCTCTAAAGCGTTTTACAAATAAACTTTTCTCGAAAGGTGTTACTGCTACCAATATTATCATCGAAAGTACTAATCATAGTACTACCGACCTCAGCTCTTCTTCTAATACTCTTTCTACTTGCGATATTGCTGTCGCTACTCCTACTGATGGTGATGGAAACAATGCGGTGCAATGCTTGCTTGCCAGTGATGCTGATTCTTGTTCAGATCGTTTCAATGAGCATTTTGAAGCTGTGGATGAGCCAATAGTGGTGATGCCTTTACCGCAGCAGTACGCTCGTATCGATTCAGCCGACGAGACTGCACCCCAGATGCGTCCCAAATCACGCTCATGGTCGCATAATGACGTAAAAAACAAGAGCATTCATTCCACGTCCGTTCTTTCGAGCAATCTCCTCTCGCGTATTACTCCAAATGATGCAAAAAGATGTGCAACTGTTTCAACTCGAAAATATACCGATAGTTCAGCACTACAAAAACAGCCATTTCTAAGACGACTTCTATTGCCAACACGTAAAGGAGGAGGCGTGAATGTTGATAATTCGAACGCAACATTGAAGCCATCAAACAGTCAACTATCGTTACCTATCGAAGATGACTTCAACGAAGCACCAGGTGGAATGCGACCTAAATCAAAATCTTTCAGTAACACATTCGAAGCGTTCCATTCAAATCGGAATCCGTTTGCACGATCATTACCAGCCGAAGTCAGCAGCAGTGTTCCATCAGTTTATGATGATGAATGTATAAAAGAGACAGTAACCGAAAAGCAGTTTTCTCAGCTTGTTGCAACGAAACACATTTCGCATTCCGAATCAGCCCTCGGTGCTGATTATCGAATCAAACACCAAAACAATCAACGAAAGACTGCTTTATCAGGAAGTTGTTCACCACTCTACCTACCCACGCGAATTCGTTTCAGTCTAAGTGATAGTGGGACGCAGAATGATTTTGTGGCATTACTGAACCATCTACAGTATAAACGACGCCATCCTCAGCTTGCAGTTACTCGCAATATAGTAAAGGTCTTCTTCAAACGGGTACACAAAAAGTCTAGGTTCGAATACCCTTGCTTCAACAGTTGTTAGCATCCTTCTTTTTTGTGTCTCTTCCAGTTCTCTTGCTCGCACGCCCGTCAAATCCAAAAGTTAAGAATTCTTGTAGAATTTGAAATATTAAAAATTTTGAAAGTTTTTTTTATTTTCTCATCTTGTTTCGAAATTTAGCACGATTTTCGATGTCATATTTTCACTTTGTTTCAATATGTTATCTTTCTTCTGAATGACTTTCTTCACGGCAAAGATGTCGCGCTATTGATTTTGGTCCACATCGTGTTTTAGCAATGAGTTTTCTTTGCTGAAATACTTTCCAATAACGAACTGAAATATTCGTTCGATCAGAAACGGAAATATTCCTTACTTGATCAGTTGATGTGATCGAAGTCAGCATCAGTGTGAAAGTCAGTAATATCTCAAGCAATCTGTCGAAGTTTCATCATGACTTCACATCAAATAATCAAAGTTTCAAATGAGAGTGAGCAGTGGAGAGTAAATAAAGATCTCTGTTGCGGTATGTTTCAATGAAAGTTTTCCTGACCAAGATTAATGAACTTGCAGACATTCGGTGAAAACATCCGATGCAAAGTCAACCCGGAAATTTGGTCGAACGATCTATGACTTGAACTATCTGTGAGTAATGATTGATAGTGATACAATTTTGGGTTAAACAATCAAAATTCCCGAAATTATTGGCTCCTTATTTCCATATTCTTCCTAAACCCGAACTAATCTTAACTTCTTGAGAAAATTTGAAAATATCAAAGTCTGGATTGAATTAAATCAAATTTATGAAACAGCTGATTTGAACTTCACGAAATTTTCACGATTCGAATGAATCCTAACCAATATATTCCGTATCACTATTGACAAAGAAATATGTAATGCTAAAAATATAGTAAGTGATGAAGCGATTGACTCAAAGTTAGCAATAGCTGTTACTCATTCATTAAGATAACAGTTCTTTGAACCAATTACGATTCCAAAATGTATTCACTTCAGCGATGGAAAATGGGAACGAACACTTCGTCCTCGACACCGGGAAAAATGGATTCCCAATCAACAAGCGTACAGAATAGGGAGATCACTAAAAAACGTCTGTCTCTTTCTTTCTTTAGAATGCAGTTTCAAAGTCGTTACTTCCAATTTCGAATCTTCAGAAATCGTGTCGATTCATACGAGTTCAGCAAAACATAACCAGAATAGATGTTAAATTGTTTTTGTGTTGCATAAATCCTATTGTTTTGAAAATGAAAGTGATGGAGAGAAATTTGATGATCTGATTATGAGGAATCGTTGAAAATTCTTGAAAATTTCTCAAAAAAACTTACTCTCTGTTTTAAGTTGGTAATTCGTCCCATGGATAAACGCATAAATCGTTTTCAACAAATTTTCGGAAAAGTGTTTGGTAAAAAAGATCAACTTATTGCAGGTGAATGAACTGTAACTTTTGTGTCTTGAAAATTTTAGGTTAATTCTTATGAACCTAACTAACACGTAGGATCAACTATTATTTCAGTGATGTTTCTTAAATTCTATGTTATGATTAGTTTTAAAATCAGCATTTGTGAAACTTATGCTAAAGAACGAATTTTTTTTCGTTATTTTTTGGACTGTTACTCTCGAGATCTTCTTTTCCGACTAGTTCAAGTGATCACGTTGGTTTCAGAAGTATGGTATTTTATTGTACTTTATTTTATTGCTGACAACTTTTTGCTATTTTCTAAAAGCCCATTTTGAAGATAGTTATATTGCTGTTGGTAAAATGCGCAGTATAAAAATAAATATTGTTGACAATATTCGATTGGTTCACACGTCGTCCATTTATATTCTTTCAGCATATTCTTGCGCATTCAGAAGCGATGTGATCGCACAGGGTCATTTGTATGTTTCTCAACGTAACATTTCATTTTATTCAAGTTCACTCAAGTGGGAAACACGTTTCATTATACCATTGTCGAAGATAACGAAAATCTCAAAAGAGAAAACTGAAAAAGTGTTTCCAAATGCTTTGGTTGTAAGTATTCTCATGTGTATATTTTATCCACTCCACTCTTTTGTTCTTTCTTCATTTGATGCTTAAATATTTTGATAGGTCTTTTGAAATTCAAATTGCTAATCAGTTCGTATTTTTGATCGAGAACTTTAGCACTAAAGTGAACTTAGTCGATTTGATTGATTAGTATGAATAAAAATTAATAGGAGAAGAATTTTAGCTTTTATATTCTACATCTATTGAGTGAGTGAGTTAATCTTTATTCATGAAACAAATAGCGTATTCAACAGCTCAACAGAAGATAAATTTGAAATGCGTTCAAGTAAAGACACATGTTGACAGTGCGCGATCACAGATACTTGAATCATTTCTTCTTTTTTTACAGATCGAAACATGCGATGATGAGAAATATTTCTTTACGTCTTTCACTCAACGCGACAAAAGTTTCACATTACTCCTATACGTTTGGCAGTCGTCTATCGATGGCGCTGTGCGATTTAAAATTATTTGTCGAGATTTTTGTTGTATTCGAATATGACTCGTAATTATAGATAATGTAGTTGTTTGATGAAGTTCAGCATCGATCTTTCATTGAAATGCATTAACTGATCAGCTCTTCTGACTAATTTTTTGGAATCTGAATGCCAATTAAATGGCTTCAAAGCATCAACAAATTAATTGGTATTCATTTGGTCTCGTAAACTTGTTTGGAGAATTCAAAAATGTAAGAAGGCTTCCAGAATATCGTGCCTGATGACCTATGGAAATTGCGTTCCACACCTGAAGGACATTTGGACACAAGCAGTAAGGAATCGGTAAGTCTTCTATATTTCTGAGTGGTTTAGTGTTGAAATTATACAGTTTCCATTTAATTCAATTGATTATGATCAGGTTTCCACTGTTCTCAATTATCTGTTTGTTTAATCTCACTTTCAAAATGAATATATCCTCAATTACCGTCAGCAATCATGATCTCTATCAACTTAAGTCATTTTGCTGCCCCATAGTTTCATTCTAATCGGTTTGCAATCTTCAATAAACAAAAATTTCAATTACATCCTCATTTAGACAGTTGAAATGCTTGAATATTAGGTTGTTTACATGAATGTTATCGTTCTTTATAAGGTATTTCTATTATGACACATATATTGCGCGTAGAATTAATTCTGCATCCTTTCTCTATTTTGATGAATGACCACGAAAGGACTCTTCTTGTCACATTATTGGGAGTATAGTTTATGAGAGAATACAAGGGTGATTGACGTTGTGATTTGTTTTTATTTTCATTACTCCCTTATTGTTCAAGTTCATTTGTATGTCACTGAAGCGATTGATTATTCTTTTGTCTATGCGTGTTTCGTTGAGATTGATTTTGATCATTTTTGAGCATTTAATTATGTGATACCCAGAAATATGAATTCTTGACAGATCTAATGATTACTCATGTTTGCATATGGTTTATTTGTTTCTCCCTAAAATACTTTACGAATCACTACAGCTCCCAATTTTTCCAATAACGCTACGAGTAATGATAAGTTTCTAACCATAACTGTTGACTGAATAATGCAGAAACATGGGCAAGAAACGTAATATCAAATTCCGATAATTGGATCAGCCTCTGTAATGAAAAGAAACGATGATAGAACAACCGAAATCATTGAAATCTGTCACCCAGATACAAATGTTTCATTGGCATGTGTCACACATTCGTGAATGATTTCCGTGCATCTTTTTTTCGCTTCATTTTTGTCATATTGAATTATTCATTTTTGCTATGCAGAAGTCTTTTTTTCATACAAAAACGATGCCATTGGCCATTGTAAAAATACGCGAAGGTTATCTTTGAAATATTCTCATCGATTTGCGTCCTTTATTCTATGCATTATCCACTCTATTCACGATTCATTTAGCAAATGCTTTTTTCGTTCATACTTCCAAATACCAAACCCCTTTCAGTCAGTCAGACATTTTATAGCGAAAACACAACTCACAGCTATTTTTCGATGCAAAATGCAGCTGCAGTGATCGTGCAGCAGTGTCGAGGGCATGGGCAGGATTCAGTTCGAACTTTTAAGTGAGCATGAGCAAGAATACAACGAACTCGTTTACACAAAGCACTGGCACGGTAAAATTGCGGATATGTCTTGATTCATTTCTCTTCTTATGTGGTCACGAAAGCCGCTAGTGCGTTCAACACAGATTGTACTTTTTTGGGATGTAGTGCAGTGCAGTACATTTGTTCTTACAAGATCGGCGGTTCAGTAAAATACAGCTCATTTTTTATTTGGAAATTTGGTAAAGTACAGAATTGTAGCACTTTTTTTGGGAAAAGTAATGTACAAAATTGTACCAAAAAATGCTCGCACAGGTTTTTACGTTTGAATAGGTTCGAACAGACAAATGCCTAGGCTGTAATCTGCACATTATTGGCTCAAAGAGTTCAGTAACACTATTTCGGATAGTTTATCAGTTATCTTCAGCGTCTCTCGTCATTTAGATGATATCTATCTCCCTTCTCATCATTCTACTGTAAACGCCTCACACTTACATCTTAATGCAATTAACATATAAATAATATAACAGGAAACGGTCGTAAATATGTATAATAGTTATTGATATCCGTGAACTTTTATCAAGATGAAACGTTAAAATAAAGTGTGTGGGTTGAAGCGCAATTTTTTAACCTTCACAGATGGGAAATGTATAACGTTGGGTTTTGTGCATGAAAATTGCAGGATACTATTAGCCAACGATGTCCGAGTATCTTAGAATATTTCATTTTATTAAATCACACTCATTGTTAACGTTGTTGTTCTCAATAGCTTGAATAATTACGTGAAAGATTGTAACGTAACAAGTTTGATTTACTCAAGTGACTTTATGAAACGGCAAATTTCATGCCTCACTGCAGGGTACGTTTTTACTTTTTACTTCAATCTTGCTCTCAAATTATCCTTAATCGAGCAGGCCATACTGAGTACAGATGACCACATGCTCATTGCACTATATGTTTGTTTGCAATCTCGTAATCAAATTTCCTCGCTGTCTGCACGCCTTTAGTTTTATCGTATGGCTAAGAAGTTTTTCCAGATAGAGATAGCGATTCCATCTATTCATAAAGAGTGATTTGAAAATTCTTTGAAGAAATATCAAATCGAACAAAATTCTTAACGCATATATTTCTTTATGTAATTATCGAAAGAAATTCTACTCTATGTTTCATCAAGCATCGTTCAGTGTTACTAGAGTTGAGAAGCTCATTTTGTTTGCGCACATTTTTTCGTTAGTGTATTTGGCATTGTTTTACTGCTGAGAACGTTGAACGTTGTTATTCAACCATTTCCATATGCTTACGACATTCGTATTTCACTTAAATCAGTCCCTCGTTTAAACTTCCTCTCGTTATGATCTCTTCACATTCAATGAATCAGAGAATTAATAGCTGCTTTTGACGTTCGTTATTTTACCTTGTTGCATTTAATCAACACAGTTAATGAAGCATTTTCTTTGATTTCTTAATCGCATTTTTAGTCCTCTATTGTCCGCTCGTATGTTATTTGATTTGTCTGCTGAGAATGTTTTCGTTTTATGTATTTCGTTAAAGTTATTTGAATAAACAATTCGAATGACCGATAATAGTTCACTTTCATTAATGCTAATAATGAACGTGATAGTATCATATTTTCACTTAAATTATTCAAGTCCTTCTGCCTTCCAAGCAGCTAGTTACATAAGCAGCTATGTACGTACTTCTGACTCTCTTCCGGATTGTACTATTCACAAATCGATACGAACGCCGGCTGCTCTTGCTAACCAACAAACGTCATTTATCCACGCATCTACATATTGAACCGATTCAAGAGCATCATGAAAATGAATGAAACGTTGCCGTTGTCATACGCTACACTCCTCCTCTTACCTTTTGTCGACTTCAACATGAGTCTAGCCCGTCAGATTTTTGATGGTGAAGTTTTGTTGAACTATTGAGTGCATTTTATTAATTAAACTGAACTTATTAAGTGCTTGACTGATTCTCAAAAAGATCTGCTTTATCACAGTGACTATTTACTTGCTTTCATCACACTCGCCTTTAAAGATGCCCACAAATCCGTCATTGTCTACTCATCTCACTGTTACTAATCATTTTTACCTTGATAATTATCATAAAAATGATAAAAAGCACATGTGAAATGATTTTTCGAAGAAGGTTCACAATAGAAATAGCATTGCTGAGCAGTCAATTCACTCGTTTACGTTACTTTTATGACATTACTTGATGCTTCGATTTGATCCGTATGATGAAGATTGCTTTTTTTGTATCCATCCATCTTTGCTTAAAGTCAGCTATTCATCAATCAATGAATCCAATCATTTGAATTTTCTTTTCTGGTTATTTGTCATGATACGAAACACTGCAGTAATGACCCTTGGTTATCGAGGACTACAGACTCAAATCATTCATATTCATATAGTTTTCTCAGTTGAATACTACTGAGATCATATTATCTACTCGAACTTATGAAACACCTCCCATTGTGACAGTTACGAGTCATTTTATCTGTTAAGTACTCTTTTCTGATCCTCAACGCGATAAAAACAATTTCTCGTATAAGTATTTGACCATAATTTTCAATCTTCTCCATCATGTTCTCAATGGATCACTGCCAGATGAGAGCATTGCAATCGACCGATCTTAGCTAATGATTTGGTCCAGAGCGTTATTCTCATGAATTTGAGAACATTTCAGTGCATCAACTCAACTTGGGCAATCTCACCGAAGGTGTCTCGGAGGATGCCTCACTCAATAAGTTCGTCAAAAAGTTCAACAAGCAAAATGACTGAATTAACGATTGGGTAAAATATTGTGTATAAACATTGAATTTGGTAATAACTAGTCATACATATGAAGATATGAAGCCTTTCACAAACAGTCATGGGTATTGATGTGCTCAAAAGTTCCATTCGAAGGCTCGCTCGCTCATGTATATTTGATAAACAGAAAAAATTGTTGAGTCATTCGACCACTACTCAAATTATAAAATCATTCAGTATTGGATTTGATGTTTGAAACGAAGAAAGTCGACTTCATAAATTTTAGATATTCAAGTACGGATTCAGTACCGAATAATTGTGCTTGTTTGGTCTCATCGGAATGTGCAGATATGCTCAATGAAAGCAGTGATGATATGAGCAATATGTCTGAGGGCGAATTTGGTATTGATTAATGATTCGTTTTGAACTTAGAGAAAATTGGCACAATAATTGTTGCTGATAATTTTTACTGATTGCCGTATTCAGTTGTAGTTGTTTTGTTATTGTTATTATTATAATATTATTATCATTGTTATTAATATTGATCATTATTTATTATTATTTTATTGTTGTTAATTATTATTATTGTTATTATTATTACGTATTATTATTTATTAGCTATTATTAATTATTGTTGTTATCATATTTCGGGTCAGTTATGTTTCAATCAGGTAGTTGCGAAAAAAAAGTTACTGATTAATTTTGGGTGATAGGTATTACGGTCTGTTTACAATTGGTTATTGCTGGGATGGTAATACTGGAAAATTTGACAGATTCAAAAGTGAGTTGTCGATGTAAATCTCATTTTGGCAAAGTGCTTCTGGATGACGTGTTCCGTTTGCCCACTGAGCAGCTATTCACGATTCTGTTCTCTAGTATGCCCTGGTATAATCAGTTGTCGGATATCGTCAAAACAACAGGTCGCCATTTTCAATGACACTGTGTAGTGGCAAAGCACATCCACTGATTTGCGAATAACCGAAATCACTTGCACCATTCAGAGAAAAGAAATAAAATCCAAAACACTGTCCTGCAATTTCAAACCTAACTCCCTCAGCAACTGGGGTCAACTCTTTTAATGAGCACCACGTGGGACGGCAATTTCGTAAAGCATATTCGTTACTGAAATATTTCCAAGTCTGTTTCATTGATTTGATATTTGTTGTTTATCGTATTTCCGCGGCTCAACTACAAACACAGAGCAGGAAGCGTCGTTGTAAAATCTAAGCGTGAAAACTACAAATGTTATATTTACTTTCAACCGATTAATTGGAGTAATCATACGACCAATTGAATATAATTAAGTGTTGTTTTACTTTCAGCGCAGTCGCGACTGTTCGAGTCGATAAGCGGTCAGTTTCTCAGTACCATTTCATAGTATTTGTTAAAGCTCGATATAAGACTCAACGTGTATTTTTAAAATAGCGACCAAATTTGTGACAATATCTCAGTGAACGAGAAATGAGTTTGACAAGTAAATGAACATATTTTTTGCGCTAGGTTGCGAAGATGATCATCATGTAAGAGATTGAAATCAGCTCGCAGCAAAATGATATATATGCACATTGCTGAAGTGTTTATCGTAACGCTAACTACTAGAATGAGTTCAGACTACTCGGCCTCTCCATGGATCACGGATCGCACGAAGGCAACCATCTCAACGCGAACGGCTACATATACGATGGCATTGAATCATGCAATGGCACCAAAAAGTACTACTGTCACTGAAAAACAAGTGAGGTGTTGGAGAGAAACTACTGAAAAGAGCAACTAGCTATTTCATTTGAAAGTTCATCGTTTATTTGAGCTGCTGTTAAGTTCTCAACATTTTCTCTATTCATCGGAAATCAACTGACAAAACTTCAGCCAGATATTCTTGTTTTGAGGTATGCGCTGAATTCGATCGTCTCAGTGATGGTTTCGTTGTTACGAAAGAAAGTCAAAATGCGGGCATACCCTATGCAGATAGCTTCCTCATTCAATGTACATACTGTATCACGAGAATCGGTTCTGTACATTCACGTCTTCGAATTCACGGTGGTATCATTTACAAAAAGAGTATTTGGGGTATCGTTAAAGGCTAGTCGTATTTCAAGATTATTTCTTCTACCGAATATGCCGATCCATTGTGAATTGAAAAAATTGTGAATTGTGAATTGAAAAATGAATTGAAAAAAACAATTGTGAATTGAAAAATGAAATTAAACGCGAATGCATTATTGCAGGATATATCGAAAAGAGCACATATGCAGGTTTAGAGGATCATTATACAGCACTTGATGAAGCGCTGAAAATTTATTGCGAGCAGAATGCTGCAAAAACTTCATTGCATTCATTTGACGACAATACCTCCACTCAGCATCCCAACGTTGACAATCAGTCAGCTGATCGTAGATCCATCTTAATGAATAGGTTCTTCTTGATATTTTACAATCAACTATTTGACTCGAAAATGGCCGCTTCGTTGAAGTTATTGAAGTTTTCTTTGCAATTAACTCGAATAAAATCATTGAACAAATAATGGATGGGCGAGTTGTTATGATTTGAATGAATTATAAACATGGGGCAGGCAAGCGCTCATATTCCTTCTGCAAGTTGTCTTTTTGCAATTTGAATGTAATTCAACATCGCAGCTGAACCACCTCTGTAATCACTCGTCACTCGAGCGAATATTATTGTTTGTCATTTCGCTCGTCAACGAAAACTTTATTTTTGTAGTTGTTATTGTAATTTTCGTTTCGGAAATGCGTCATTTTTTGCAGGGTGAAAGGTCAACAGCATAATGGGACTCATATGATAGGTTCACATTCAATGGTCGATAATAATCCTTCATTGTCTCGAGGTATATTCCAATTTTGCCAGAATTCTACTTTCAAAAGTTCCACAAAAACCAAATTCATTCATTCTCATCATTCAAAAAATTGCAATGAATCTCACTTGTTTCTTGAAATTGATTTAACTTATTGTTTTCATGCAAAGCGATCAATTTTTTTTCACTGCGTTGATCAAACATGAGGTCGTTTGTCATCGAACAGCTGCATAGCTTCAAGAAGTTAAATTTGATAGAATGAAACCGGTTAAAGTTTTAACAGCTTACTTTTAGATTTGCGTACACGCCTTCGAAACACTCTTACTGAAGAAGCACAAACGCAAACATTACCCGTTATTGCGACAACGGATTTATCTTATTATGCAAAACTTATTATAACCTTGTATGTTTCATCTTCTTTATTCGATTACTTTTGTGAACAAATCTGTCAGATTCACACTATCACTAATGCTTTCTTATCAACTTATTACTAAAATTTAGAAAAATGTATATGAGTTCTCAAAATTTTATGTTTAGATCTATGTGTGCAGGAAATAATCTGAGTAATTCCAGGCTCACAACACTCATCTTATTACATGCATTCACGCTAATGAAATTATCTTTGACTGACGTGCCACAACGCTGCAACGTTGATGATCATTTTATGGATGCGTTTATCGGGTATAAAATTTTCTCATTGCTATAACTGCGCCTATTGTTGGTAGTTCTTGAAAATTTGTTGTCTTTAATTGAGAAATTCATCGTAGGTACTAAAATTATTCTTACTATCGTAATGCATGTATGTGCTGAAGTTAAGGACGTAATTAGTTATAGTGATTCCGAATTTAATCTGAGCGGCTATGGCAAACAGCGATTCAATTATAGTAAGGAAAGAGCAACATTTCACTCAAAAAAAAGCTGAATTGATGACAATGATGCATTAACGTTGCGACGTTTCAAATGATAAAAATCGAGTTGTTTTGTTCTTGTCATAATCGTTCAGTGAGTGTAAAAAATAATACACTTTTTTGTTTGGATGATTCTTGAGGAGCCAACGTTATGAGCATCTTTTTAATTGCGCCAGATGCAACTGATAAGTGATTTAATTGAACTAAGAAAACGTTACTTCAATTGAATCACATATCTTTGTGTAAGATCGCTATTGACACTTTTTTCTGTTTAGAACAACTAACTTTCATCACATTTTTTTCATTTATTATACATGGGCAAGCATAAAAAATTTGAATATTCTTCACGCTGTTGGATTTCGATACGCCAACTTTTAAACAATCAATCATAGAGACAAAGCCTTTCAGAAATAGTGATTCTTCGGCAATCGCTGAATTGATGCGATTCGGGTCGAGCGCGGAAATACCACAAGATATAAGCGAATTGAGGCAAACTATTGATCGTGTTCACACTGAACTCGCTCACGTTCGTCAGCTATGGCAACGTGCTAATGATCCATCTTAATTAATCGATTAAAAATTACTTTTGAACAACGTCAAAGGGCGAAGCACAAAAAACAACTGCTCTTTTTGCTTACTGATAATCGATTATCGATTCATTCAACAAATCTGCTAAAAAACAAAATTGTACACTCATTTTCTCATCTGTGATTATTCTTTAAATTGCTTTCATTCCCTTGAAAATACTCTTTGTGATAGATATAAGAATTGTCTCATTTCATGCATTTATTACACGAATGGCAAAAGAGACATTGTTTATTGTAAATGATATTTATCCATTCATCTGCCTTTTCCTATTAATAACTCTCTTCAAGTGCGTCACTGATCATTATTTATATACGTATTTATTTTATTGTATCAATATCGGCTGCACGCTAGGTTGTGTATGATTTCATACTTCTTATCTAAATCATGCATCTGTCAGTTGTTACTCACGAAAAAATTCGGGTAAGTCCATTCCTTGTCACAAGCAATGCACATACCCATTTTTTTCACACTCAAGCTGAAGCAGTAAACGAACCAAGTGCATGTTCGCATAACGGAAAGTTGGCTTTTGCATTTTTTCAAAATTCATTTCTGCGATTACAACGCCAAAAATGTAGCCAAATTTTGACGTAATTGATGAAACAATCTTTTAGTCGTATTTCTTCTCCTCTCCACTCAAACCGAAATGAACAACCAACGAAATCGGAAACAATCATCTTCACCCGTTTGTTTTGAGTTTTGCCAGCCTCTTTTGTTGTCAGATTTGAAATAGATAATCATTCAGCCATTATTATGCATGAATATAAAAACTGGTCTATTCGCATGATTGTTTATGGGAAATCGTTTCGTTTTATTCGGGTTCACGAAAAGTTTGATTGATATGGTGCAATATGCTAATCAAGTGGTAATTAAGTTATTGAATAAAGGAACAAATTTTATTATCACGTAATAAAACGTTAATTATTTTAAACGTTAATTACATTAATTACGTTACAAAACATTCTTTGCATTAATTGTTAACTGCGTTGCGTCAATTATCGTTAATTGCATTAATTATCAACAGTTTATTCGGATGATAAATGATTAATCAATCACTTACAATAATATAGAAAAAGTAAAAGTTAATTATCGAAAATAATTGGGTACGTACAATATGAGCAATATGTGATGAGCAGTTGATTCATTTAAAAAGAAATAAAAAAGTGTCAATTAAAGAGAAGTAAGCGATTGATGAAATGAGTCATAGAACAGGTGATTCAGGACAAGCGACGGGCTTTGGTTGAGGCCTCGCGTTTGACGCTCTATAGAGTGGTGAATCATGCGGTACTGTTGGATCACCCTTCTTGAACGAGGACAGTCGCTGGGGGTCACTGCGATTGAATCCGCTCCTACATAACAAGATCAATGATGAAAATGTGCATCATCCACTCACTTGCAAATTTTGCGAAGCTACAATGGCGATGAAACATGCATGGCAAAAATGAACGAACGAGTTCATGCGAACATTTTATTTTGATGCAAAACTCGTCAAGGATCTGATTATGAAATAAAGAGAGGCAGAATTGACAGTGTTAAGGAATGCTTATAAAAGTAAATGGTTGTTGGTGTAACAAAAGCTAAGGGATTGGTGCAATTGCTGACAAGCGACGTTGTAATCTAATTGATAAGCATAGTTCCAGTGTTTTGCTTAATAAATTAAAATCTGCGAAGCAGTGATGAATTTTGCATATAATTGTCGCGACTAGCGCGAAAAGTTAGCATAGAATGATGATAGTACTAAAGGAGATAATTTTGAGGTATTCTTGTGTGTTTATCTCTTTGAGCCCATTGCACGATGTTTCTTATTTGATTCAAGTACTATCTCTTTTAGTACTATCATCATTCTATGCTAGCTTTTCGCGCTAGTCGCGACAATAATCAGTTTTTAAATATTCGATAACTGCCTAATCTCATCAAAAGTACAAGTGAAATTGCTCGTCACAAAAAACACTACGTGATAGGACATCATAATTTTGGAATAATCAATTCCTAATGCAAACAAATATTCATGATTTATTGATGTTCCACGAATTCAATAGAAATAGCTGTGATATCGTCTTATCGATTATGAGTATTGAAAGTGAAAAAATCACCGTTACACTCAATTATCAAGAAGAATAAAAAATTGCTCGAATAGCAAAAGTGGTGCATTTTCACGACTATGTCGAAAATTTTCAGGGAATCATCACCCACTGAATATAATCATGCTTTTTTGAATGACAAGGGATGTATCTGATAAAGCTAGTGATAAAAATGCGTTCATTATTGGGTTAATTGAGGTGTATTCTTAAAGGACAAAGCCTTGCAAATTGAATCGATCATATTAAAACAACAACATATAAAAGCAAACAGTTCAGTGACCGTACACAACGTTGTTGATAATGATATAGATGAAAATAAAAAGAAATCAATTGTTACTGCCAAAAACTACTGAGAAGCGGCCATCCGAAAGAGCGTCAAAAATTCAAAGCGATGAATAGCGTGAAGCCGAGACAGTGAATGCCATTAAAGACTGCTGTCAGTTAAACGAGAATGGTTGTATGAAACGATGAGGGTGGATTATTGCTAAGAAAAAGAAGGAAGTTAGGAAGGAAGGAAGGAAGGAAGGCTCACAGATCGTTCGCATCTGGTAGCATTGTGGCATCCTCGTCATAGTCCTTAAGCGTCGTATCCAGATCGTCGAAGTCCATTTCATTAGCCTGAGGGACACTCGCTAAGTCGTTGGTATCAAATGATTGTTTGGCTGTGAAATACGTTGTACTACTAGAAGTCGACACCTACGATTGAGATGAGATATGCGTTTCATCTCATGTCCTCCATCCTGATCTCCCTCACCCACAAACATAAGTTCACAACATCACTTCTAATCTATTTAATCATATCACCTTAATTTTATATCTACTTCATTGAGGAGAAGAAAGTTGAAAAAAAAACTTAAGATTGTTTTTTAAAATATAAAAATGAATTTCATTCATTTTAGGAGAAGAGTATTACATACTAATTGTAAGGGCATCCCAGAACAGAAACATCGCTTTTTTGAAATCTAGACAAACTTTTATTTGATAAACCTATTAATAGACAAACGTATTTATTTGATATTTTATTTGACTACAGACGGACTAGAATATGTTTACGTCAGTTTTTTATCCTCTTCAATTTCAATGTAGTTCTTCATTCAAGGTGCGTAAGCAAACCCAATGAACACGCACTCATGCGAAATTGCTTTCGGATGGCCAAGCAAAGCTTTCAGATTCAATTAGATTCTCTCTGTTACCTTCTGTTGAAGTGGCGAATTATAGTAGGGGCGATCGAGCGATTGAGTTGGTTCAGGTAGGTCGAAGTTATTGACCAACTTCGATGGCTTCTCAATGATAACTGAAATAAAGTTAAGAATCGATCATAGCTGGTTAGTTGACTCAATGGTCGTAACGAATTTAGTGATGAGAACACAATGTGATTATTCCGAAGGTTCGGTTTAATCGTCTTATTCGTTGATATGATTAGAACATCGATTCTATTGCTTTAATGAGGAATTATTGAGTGTTTAAAACGCATCCATTAATGCACGGTTTCTCAACCAGGGGCGCTTGCACCCTTTGCGGGTACGAGATAGTATTCCAAGGTGTGTTCGGCAATGAACATGTTTTCAACAATTTATAAAAAAGACACAAAATGTGCTCATTCCATTCACGACAACATACTTATGCGAGTTAGGATTCAGTGCCCTCTTGTCATTCAAGACAAATCGTTTGGGTGCACACGCTGACGTGCGGATTGCTATCAGCAATGAAGTGCCTCGCTTTGAAAAATTTTGCGACAGTAAACATGAACAAAAGAGTAATTGAATTTAAACATATCAAGAACTTTCATGCATCGATGAAACTTTATCGTGAGTTTATGCAGCTATAACTTTTTTATAATATTTTTTCTTTTCCAAACGAGCATATTTTATGTCATCAAAAATTAATTATAAAAGATTTTTTATCTTTATTTTTAAATAAACTATTATTGTGAGAGGTGCGAGGACATGTTAAAATTTTTAAGCGGTACGGGCGAAAAAAAGCTGAGAACCACTGCATTAATCATTGACGTTGATTTTGGATTTAATTTATTTTAAACAAATATAAGTAATTCACATGAAAAACTGGAATATCCAACTGTAAAACCACTAACCGCCTGATGGAAGTAAAGGTGCCGTTTCCGGAATGTTACCACCTCCATTGACTTTATCTAAAAAGTTGAGAAATCAATTCATAGCAATCAAACTACAGTGGAAGATTGCTAGCGTTTACGAGATCACAAGTGACGAAGAAACAAAATTTTTGAAAAGCAAGTAAAAAACGCCTGAGCATTAAGAAATGTGGATATGATCCAGAATCTTTTGCAATTTAACAATATTTTTGAAATAACACTAAAAGTGCACTGATGCCAGATCATTGACTGACTTCTAGATGATTCAACTATAAGTTTCAATGTGAACCCTACAAAGTATCAGTTTTTGATGTTCAAAAATGCTCATCCGATTGCATTCTATCAGTCAATCAGGAATGTATATAAGTGACTGAAGTAATCTAAAAATTTTCACATCCTAGCGTTAACTGCTTAATATAATGGTGATTGCGATTATTACCAACCTTTCGGGCCCATCGGGATGCCTTCTTCCGGTTCGGGCTCCTTCTTCTTCTTTCGGCAACAACAAATAAGAAGAATGATCAAAATTAACAAGAGAATGAAACCAATTAGTAGAAGAATGATCCACCCTGAAAGCCGCTAATCGTCAACTTACGAAAGGTATTTTGTAACAAAAAATTCATCGGAACAGCAACTGACATTCGCACACATACTCTTCGAGAAAATATTTCAGAGGAAAAATAGGGATCTCACAGTAGGATTGGCCTTCTGGCGGTGTGGTTGTAGCGGGTACTGGCTGAGTAGGCCTGTAGAAGACTTCTGCATGGAACGGTGAATCCCACTCAGGTTCGTTCACGTTATTTTGCAGCGCTAAAAACAACTGTCTTCTTGGACAAATCAAATTGATACAATGCACATGTGCAATGATCACTTCGGATCGTATGATCATCTAACATCGATAATCGACTCCTTTCGAAGATTGCTATCATCCTGATTTGTTCGAATGCATTTTTCAGCATAACCTATCGCTTAACTGGCTAGTGAAAGCTCAACGTCAAACTATCGCATGTGTATTACACGAGTCGTGATACTATGCCTACAAAGTGGACAGTTCGAGTCTGTCGAGTTCTTTGATTTGCTGCATCCATACGATCCACGTTAACTGTTCCTAAAAGATTTTATCTGTATTCGATCATCAAATTTCGAACCTGGAAGTGCTCCAGGAATTTTGAAGGCGCTGCAATTACCAAGCAGTGGTTTATCTCCAAAAATGGTCCAGCCGTAAGCAAACTCTTCACTTGGATCAATCAAATAAATGCTTGGCTTGAAATGCATCCTGCCAACATTCAGGTTGATGTCAATATCTGAAATGATAACGTTATGATTTAACGAACGGATATTTGCATTCAAAATTATCATAGATTGATAGGCTAATGAACTAATTTATGATTCTCTGATCAAAGTTTCACTCAGATGGTTTGCAATAGTTCCAAATTCGTGTTCTTACGTCTCAAGATCTTCGTTCTCGTCGAAGTTGCATTAGATTTGCACTATGATGCCCTTTATCATACAAAAATGAAAAAACACTGTTTTCATTGAACTGAGAATTAGGGAAATATCGAGGTTGACTGAATATTGCTCCGATGCAAACTACTGAATGATAAACCCCAAAATGATTAATTTGTATATACATAATGACATTCACTGCTTTTCCACTGTTGATTTGATTTTGCAGCGTTCTCAACAATTAGCCCCTGCAAGTAAGTGGAAAAACGTACTCGAAATACAACCAGAATAATTGTGTATCTGAGACGAACTATCCACTGCGGTTACATGGTAGTCAGCGGCAACAGCACCGGTTCCGCTTTGCATAATACCACCAAAATCATAATCTATTGCATTCGCCAAAGAGAGAGTGCGTGCAACCTCAGATGGAAAGTCGAACTTCGATGAATCCACCTAAATTTTGGATTAGAATTGATAAAGAGAATATGTGAAAAGCATCCTACTGGAAGCAATATTTTTGGAGACGTTCACTGTGAGATTACTGATTGGTGAATAGCAACAGTAACGATTGAGAGGATACTCACGGTAATGGTAAGTGGAGTTTTTCCGCCGAATTCAGACTGGAAAAAGTGGCGGTATCCGTCTGTGTAATTGAATGGGAATGTATGCACATAAGTGGAATCTGGTGACGATATGACCACGTTCAATGATCCGTTCTTGCACAGTATTGCTTCGAGTAGTCTGAATTCAATAATGATCCACATTGGAAAAACTCACACTGTTAATTGTATCATTCAGTAAGCTAACATCCAAAGAAGATTCTGCACAAATCATTCAAGCATATTTTATACACACAGGATTGATTAGGTTTCCGCCCAATCCTTACAGAAATCATTCCCAGAGGTTACTAGAAAGAATCTTTCTCATTGTGAAGGCAATTTCAGAGGATTAGAAGCTCTCAGTGCTAACCGATTATTGGTGAAATGAACGGTTACAAGCTGTTGTGGACGAGGTGAATCTGGTTCTGTAGCAAATGCGAAGTCAAACGTTTGCTCTCCAATTTTTGACCAGTCATAAATGACTTGCTTGAGGATGTTACCAACATTAAAACGTAACAACGCATTACCGTTGAATTTTGCGCCAGCATCTTAAAGAGTCATTTACATCATCATAGTAACGTCAAAAAATTGCATTTATTGATAGTGTTTTCATAGAGCCGTTCGAATAACAGTTACAACCATATTTGTAAGTTTGCTACAAACCTTTGTCGCAGTACTTTCCGTAATAAGAGGTGCGTGTACAATCGCATGTTGCAAGCTCAGCACTCGGATCCGTATTGGTCCATTTGAATGTGCAATGACCATCGTTCTTACAAGTTGGCTCTATCGCCTCACAACCAGTCTTGCATCCTTCACGGATCACATCTGCAAATAACAGCTATTGTGTTGGCTATGGGAAATCCAACTCAGCATTTATCGCAAATTGCTAGTTTCTTGTGTTATTCCATTGTGATTGGGAGATGAATATTAAAACAGAATAATAGATAACAGCAGAAATTACCGATTTCCTTGGGATAGTACGGCCAATATTTATGATCTCGTAAATTGATCACCTCATCACCGATCATTAGGCCACGAACACAGCCCAGTAACGTTGACACCGTGGTCTTATAAGTGGGATCCAGTTTACCTTTGTAGTTTTCGGTTGGTAAACCACCAACAAAAAGCAGCGTAAACGGTTGATTATCATCTTTACGTTTCAGTGGCGTCACCGGTGGTTCAACAATATCTAAAAACAGATCCTTCTATTTGATCATTTCATTCTCTTTGAGCACAGTGCAATATCTCTTCACTAATTTGAAAAAGCAACTCAGACGTTATCGATAAATAATGTTATTTCGACTGATAACAATGTCATTATTATCAGTCGCAGCGCACAATTGGTTTCCAGCTGCTCTTATCCAGACTGGTTTGGAAAGATCGGTCTGCACCCGATTGACTTGAAAAATCAGTGAATAGATTCACTTGACACGTTCAACAAAGGTCAAAAGTCATTGATTACGATGAGAACAACTGCCTGATGGTAATTAGCACTTTTTTTCAGAAAGAGAAGTGACAGAAAGTGGAGAGGGCCAAACGGAATCATTAGAAATGAGATTAACGAGCTGTCAAATCACACTAAAGAACATGGAAGTCCCGAGCTACTTTAGAACTATCGTTTACTAAAGCTGCAATCGGTTTCGGAGATCAACAACTGGAGGAACAACAGCACAGCACTAGTAAAAAAGAAAATAAACAGAGGAACGTACAGAACGACAATTGAACGAAGAGGAATATAAGAAACTGGTTCATGCAGTGAAATCACCGAAAAAATTAACCAAACCATGCAACTGTCAGCTGATGCAAAACCTGAGCCACGACAAACGGAAATGAGTATGTTGCACAGAGAAGGATGGAAAGGGTGATAATCAGAAGTAATGATCGACTGAGGGATGTCACGAAAATTAACGATGTCGTTAGAGGAAAGTGGGCACGAAAGACAGCACTGAGGGTAGAGGAATATTGGGTAGAAACAGCAACTGAAAGACAACGGAGGATTTGGAAGAGGAATGGGAGATGGCCCAGGATGACATTTAGGGATCCGATTTGCGAACTGACCGGTCAAAATCGGATGTAGAAAGTTACATATTTGTGACGCTATTAAAGAGGCTTTTATTCGCAGTAAATATCGATAGCTGAATAAATAAATCAATAGATATGATGCTATCCCAAGCGTCATCAGTAGGTATTGCTGGAAATAAACAAACCATCCATATCATGAGAGACTTCAAATTTAGTGATGAATTCATCAGAAAGTATTCTTGCTCCAGGTATTTCACACACATCATCATCAACACTTAACAGAACATGATCGTCATCTTGGAACAAAATTATTTGCAACCACTGCATTCGACTGAATTCTGTAAGTGATTTTTAAAATTCAATTTCGGTTTATTTGGCTGACAATTATTTTGACTGATACTGAAAACGAATTTTTGACCTTTTCGAATGACTTAGTTTGAAGGTACATCGAAAACTGCCCTTCAAACACAAGTTCTGATCGAATATCAACAAAGTAATCCAAATATTTTTCAATCTCTCAATTGTCACAAAACAAAGTGCATAATTAGCCGTCGTATGCAACTCAATTTATGGCATCTCATGCTACGCTATGAGATAACTCAAATAATATTCAGTGATTATTACGAATGGTCTTTGAGCAATACATAATTCTGAATCGCTTGTTTCGTAAGTGAGCATTCAAAATATTTACCATGTCCGATTTTAGCGACAATTTCACATTGTCGAACAGTCCTATTGTAGTTGGTGGTGAGAACAATTCGAGTATGATCGCTGAGGTGCACCTGCAAATGAGATCGAGTTGGTGTTGTGCTGAATTGTGGTTGATATGCTCAACTGAGCAGTACTTGATGAAAAATAAAGGAATTAAAGAAGGTAACAAATCGTCCGCTACAAATTCGGGATGAATCATAGATACCTGTACAAAATTATAAAGATGATCGTGCATGTAGATGATTAATGCATCTCTTCGATCTGTACGTACACTGACCACAATTCGTTGTTTGACTGCATCACTTGTTGAAGACATTTGCACTTTCAAGAAGCCACGCTTCAGGTTATGTAAACTCACTTCACTTCCTTGATTGATGCCTAAAGTTTCCATTCCAAAGTGCGTCTTACCGCATAAGCAAACCGCAACTTAATACGAAAACCGTCTAACATACAACCAAATGAGAAACAGCATCATTTTTTGTGTTCTACTCATAGAAAATCACTAATTAAATGCACCAAATTTGCTAACTGATAACTATAAGAATAAACTTGACATAGTGCGATAAGAATAACTGAATGATGCAGAAAAACAATACGTTTGACGCGTAATAAGTCTGAAGAACAATCGCAATTCAAATTACTTACTGTTCTCACAGAGCGGTCCAGAATGAATTATATTGTTACGGCATACACATCGAACAGCATCATTTTCAAAGTCTTGCTCACATCGACTTTCATGTTGACACATATGAGTTGCACATCGATCTTCACAACCCAAACGAATACTGGCCTCGTTGAATAATAGTGCCTCAATATTCATCAGCTTCCCAGCATTGAATACGATCTGTCGAATGCATCCCAAAAATCCATGCCTCCCTCTAAATGAATGCATGTTTATTCACAACTGTCACAATCATTCGAAAGTAGCAATTCTCAGTGAAATCAACAATAACCGTTTCATTCGTCTCCAGCAAAAGTCATCAAAATGCATGCTCTCCAGTAATTAGAACAATATCAATTCATTAAGTTTCTGACAGAGCTTGAGTGGCGAATATGAAGTGATTTTTGTGGATCAATTAGTACAAAGCAACACACCCGCCAACAAAGATGGCAATCTTCGTGGACGAAAGCGGTCGTCCAACAGGTAGATATTCAGCACTTTCTCGAACCGATAAACGCACTGTATTCTCGAGGATCTCAATCCTAACTCGATGCCATTCACCATTGTTAAGTCTGAATGATGCGTATTATATAATAACTCTTTCAAAGCGCTACTTTATTGCATTAAAAGACCCTGAATCAATTCATTAGTGATTGAAGCACTGTTATACATGCGTCCGTCACATTCTATGCTAAGGATCAGCAACCACATATACCTTTAACCATTGTGTTTATTTTTTGCCTGGTTTATTTTCCATCTTTTGAACATTTTTGATCATATATCACCAATATCATCTACCAGATCCATCTTAAATTTATACATTGGCTGATCGACATACCTGGATTGTGGCGTGAGTGACACATTGAAATTATCGATAAGAAGATGTAGAGTGCGATCTTGCAATTCTAGATCAAACACATCATCTTTTGACGATAAAATCGTCAGTTCTTTCTCGAACGTTCGGAATTCGAAACTCAAGCTTCTCATATCCCAATCGCCCAATGCCAGTGAGTCTGCACGGCTTCTGAACGTCGCCGTATGTGTCTGCGCACGACCCGCTGAATGTACTGATCATTTGCATCCAACTAATTCGAGTTAACGTCCAGAAATACGATAAAAATTATCGGTTGCTTTCAACAAAACGTGAAATCATCCATAGTGGATAGGATCGGTAATTCCTATTTGATGCTAAGAAGGCACTTAATGTTCAGGTGCGTCTGAATAGAGGTTCTAGGCAATATCCATGCTAGCTGCTTTCATATTTCCTAGACAACGATCGCATGAATACGGTAACATTACATTTCGAAATGAACACAATCTAAGTACGAACCGCTTCCAGAACAAACAAGCGAACTTAATGTGACCAAGCCTCTTTGATCAGTTGGATCGTTGAGAGCATAAATGTTTGTCACTGGTGCATCGATGCCGAGCATCGTACCAAAGTCCGACGTTTCTTGACCACTATCACAATTGCATTCTATAAATTATTATTTCGGGTCACTTCACATGTACATATTATACATACTTATGTTTAGCAATAAGAATATTATAATGGTCGATTATTGGATCACTTCATTGATGCTTGAATATGCAATGGGTGCATTTAAAAGTCAGCACCAAAGTTAGCTTGTTAAAAATTCAAATGAATAAGTGAAACGAATTTTGTCGTCTTACTTCCACATTGCCCATTAGCGCACTGACATGAACCACCGGCATCCATGAGTCGACTGAACTCGTGATCATAAAGTGATGTGAACCATGTTTTACGCCACGAAAAACTGAAATTACGACGTTGACGTCAATCATTTAAATGCACAAATCTGATGTATATTGTTTGATTAGTGCTACCGCCACACACTACACTTAATTAGAAAGCTTGTTGTATTCCTTCAGTTAAATTCGTTCGTTTCATTTTTATCTGGTTTAAGAGCAGTTTTGTTTTCATCTTAAAATTGATTCGTGCTATAGAGCAACTAAGAAACAATAACAACCAACCCTAGAGGTGCTTTCACACATTCATATCGCATCGTTTGTGTACATTCCTCAGAAAAGTCTCGTAAATGTCTTAGTTGGTCCTCGTTGAATAGCCTGCAAAAAGTATTTCCGTCAACTCAACTCTATCCTTTTTAGTGCCTGAAATTTTGCATACAAATTTCACAAAATTTTGTAATGAAATTCAATGAACGGTGTATGCATTATCGAATCTTGTGTAAGCTAAAAAATGCGCATGATAAATTTTGCGAAAGTTGAATTGAATTACTATTCCACAACCATGCAAAAATCGAAAGGTGATGGTACCAGGCAACTTCTGAGAATTACTGTAAAAGCACTCACCATAAATACTATAATTTTCGTTGAGATTAAATATAGATAGATGAATCTCTAGATGGATACCTGTAGTTGATGCGAAAGCGTAAATCGCCCAGATCCTTGGCTCGCATGAGCGTTTGATTTGGCATGTTATGTGGTATAATAGTTTTTCCATTTTGGCAGTTAACGTATGTTTCAAGCAACGGTCCTGACCCATCAACATCGATAATGTATGTTCCCGGTTCAGTATTACCAGATGTCAGAACATCATCACAATTCCATGGCAATGTTGCTATAAGCATTCATAGTAACATAACTAGAACCCTCCTCAAGTGCATTCTCTTTACCCTCCAAATGAAATGTTTTGGTTTCAGTTGGAGTCTGTGTATTATCTTACGATTGCGAATCAATTACTTCATTTCCCTCTGATTAAAATTAATACTTAGCAGCAAAATTTCATTACTGCATGCGTTGAAATAATGAAAAGGTTTTCTCATCAAAATATCGTTCGTCGTGAATTATTAAAAAGCCGAAAAGAACTTGAAGGAATGAGAAGACCTTGTTGATGTTCAACTGAATTGCAGTAAAATCTTACAGAATTGGCAGTGCTCTCCAGCAAAACCTTTCTTACAAACACACACTGGAATGTTTCCTTTTTTGATGCACTCGATATGGTTCTTGCAAAATGTTGCTTCGCTGTTTTCACATAATTGTTTCTTTTCTGGCATCTCTTGAAAATTACATATCATATCAATATCAGCAACATGCGATGAATATAAAACGTATTTCTTGAGTATGTTTCTACTGTAACCGACTGCGACTTGTTATATTTCTCGCTCATAAATGTAACGACTCTTTGTAAATTAAGCGAACATATGATCAGATATATCAGAGATCTCTTCCACTGTTTTCAACTTATTAAAACTGACCGGCAACAAATTTGTCTGACAAATGATCGCTTATATGATCCTCGACCAATTTATTGGTTTCGTGCATTTCATCTTCGACCTGAAAGAGAATGATTAGTTGCAGAGAACAAAACGTACCGATATTTCTTCTTATCTGCACACAATCAGTTAGTAGAAGGTAAACGTCGTTGATTGAATGATGAACATTGGCTATCTTGAGTACAGTTTTGTTGCACTTGACAAGAACCATATAATTTTAAGATTGAGTATGTTGTATCGTTTCGTTGCAAATCAGTTTTTACTTAGTTAAGAATTTATGCTTCAGCCGTTTATTTTTTTTTCAATTGCGCAGTTATTTTTTATAAAAACGAATCACTGTCGTCTTGTCATCTGTATTAAAGGATCTGAAAAGCGAATACATGAACCCTTCGAAACCTTATCATTAAATGCATCAGCATCCGAGTCTAAAACTTCCTCTTCGTCGGGGGTGAGCACTTTTTGTTTTTGTTCGTATGCCCAGAGTCCTTCTGCCGGAATATCGTTTGCTTCCACCAAGCCGTCATCATGAATCTGTAAATTCAAACTGGTGTTACTTAAAAATCCATTTTTGTAACAACTTCAAAATGATAGAATGGAGATGCTACGAATGCCGCAACATTGAAAGATTCAGTCTATGAATTTATATCAACCGGAGAAAGAAGTTGTAAGTCTGATAAGGACGTCGCTGAGCTCGTCTCGCATCTTTCTAACTGCTCACTCGCTTTCACCTGCAAAGCAGTCATTTCAAAGTTGATTGCATGCATCTCATTCAGCTTTGTATTTAAAAAATTCCATTCGATGAATGACGATGTGTGTGGTCTTATAGCGAACAGTCTATTTCTCAACGATGATAGAATGTGCAACACAGTGAGATATTATATTGTTCCTCTTGTGATATGCATAAATGAAGTCAGATATCTGAATTCAGATAATGCTGATTTTTGATCCTTCAATTTTAATCAACGATCCGGATTCAAAAAATGGTTCTCGAACACTCATTACGGAATCCAATAAAACCAAAAGAAGACTGGGTTTCTTCTTGATTTTGTGCTAATCAGGCGAATTGAATAAGTCATACTTTTGTGGAATTTCTGAGGTAACCATCAATGACATCAAAATAGCCATAATAAATTTGACGTAAGCATGCAGACAATCCAATCTCATCAGCGCCAGCCGTGAACAATACTTCTTTCCCGAAACTGAAACGTTTACTTTGAAGACGAGTCTTAACGGTGAAACAAAATGAAATGAACGGTAACTCACATTCGATGATCAACGAAAGCTTGTAGCGTAAAAATGGTGGCATGATATGAACAGGTGTTGAATAAATCTTGTGATGTATTTTCAACTTAGAAAAAGCCGAAATTTCTGCTTGTGATTCGAGCGTCTAATTATTCATGCAATTTTCCATGAAACTAGTCCAACGATTAGTTTTGATGATGATTTTGTTTGAAGTTTTTTTCTGATCCGCATAATATATCTATGGTAAATTACAAACCTAATATCGATCTCTTTTCCAGGTTTATACCAACTAGCTGTTGTAATGTTCCCATCCAGTGACAACTGAACCTCACTCATACCATAATCGAACGTCAACACGAGTTCATGAAAACTGTAAGCAGGATGGCTGACTTGCTGTGCTTATGGACGATAAGATTCCAAAGAATGATAACGCATTAAGCGATATTTTACATAAAAACGGTCTCATTTGACGTTTATTGAGGAGCATGTTTACGAAGGAATAAAGACCAAATGAATGCTAACTTGTCAGGTGAAAGATGCACGTTTTCCAAAGTGGCTTCCGTAAGATTACCCAGTGTAAGATGTAGGTTTTCATAGATGAGTGCTAAATGGAAATCACCCAATGATGTGCCGTCAGTAGCAGAGAGTAAATTTGAATGTATGAGAACTCCTTCGTTTGTAGCCGTCTGCAATCGTTTGTTTAAAGCTCGTTTAATTTCAGCAAGTCTGCTACGATATCATTTCACAGTTGAAACCATTATAGGAGCGTGTATATCGGTCATTCTAGCTCAGAAACTACCAATCATCGATGCTCAGGTCAATTCTTTTTTTCTCTCTCTATTTTCTAAATACCACATCGGAATTCACTCAAGATTTTGGACTGGCGCGGAATTGTACGCCCCTCCATGTTCTTCGGATCCTCAAGTACGGTATGCATACCAGTACACTGCCAATTTAAATGCTTATTCTTGTTTATCTTATTAAAAACCATTCATTTATCGTGGCTTTTCGTGTTAACCTCGATGAATGGCTCAAAGCAGTAATACTCATCGACCTGAAAGTAAACCTAAAAACTGTTCGCATCATTTCTGTAGAAAATATGATCGAATGAAATTAACCTTGAATTCCATCGATATGATGTGTGGCTGAGAATCTTTCTCGCTAACATCAAATTCAAGATATTGATCCCAAGAAACGTTTACTGCTGTGAGATCTTAAGATTATAATCAATGATTTCATTCCAGTTCTTCAAGTTCCCAAATAGAATTTGTGATAAAATTACAGTTCCAGTAAATGATTGTCAAATAGCTAGTGAGGTGAATGACAGGTCTGAAGGAAAGGAAATAAAACACTGCGTAATGCAGTATAAAAATTTCAAGTTTTAAGCGCTCTTGGCCCACGAAAAATTAGGCTCACATCGATCTTAGATTGTTAGATACTCTCAGGAAATTGTTCGATACTCTTAGCGGTTCATGCTTACAAATATGGGCAGTGAGCGAGTAACTCTGACCAAACTCGTGAGCAGTAAGCATCAGCAACTCAAACATTTCTGCTCTCATGGTAAGCACGGCCTATTTTGCAAAAATCCCCTTTAGTGCACTTTACTAAACCAGTGAAAACACCACGTTTACGTGCTGACCTTGATCACAGTGCTCTCCTGATTTTTGTGTTCCTCTNCAATCGCAAACAGCTGCTTCGAAAAAGTTGATGCACTGACCCTGAAACAACAAGATACTTTCTTTTAACCCAGCATCATTTTGTCAGGCGGAATTGTGGCCATTACGAATTGCATAAGAGGCAATAAAAATTTTCCATCCAAATCGGATACAGCTACGTTGAGTGGTCAAAGTAACTAATTATCACGTTTCAAATCAGTTGAACTGTTCGAAATCCAATTTGACTGGAATAGTCGATCAAGTAAATTAATATTAAGTCACTAATCAATCTTAACCTCATTGCACTCGTGATTATCACATAACGATTCGCATCCATCAATAACACCTTCATCACTACGCTCTGTTTCTGGAAAATCCAGCGCAAAACGTTTTCCAACGCTCAGCGCGACTAATGTCACGCATCCAACAATACCTTTATGGTCGCCTAAAACGAGCATAGCATTTTTGTTGACAAACAATCCTTTGGCAGTTATCAGTAATTGTTGCTTTCGAGAAGTATTTTTTAAAGTAATGATCACTCAGTATGTAACTGTATCATGTTCTCTAACGCTAGTTTGTATTTTACGAAGTCCTTTCTTGACATACTCATCCTAAGGTAATAATCGTATGTTGCGATTTTTGCTTGAAGTAATAATCACTGCTTTCTCTCCTTTTTATCACCGATTAATTTTAGCCTTTCAAATGTATTATCATGCATTTTTAAAGTACTCGATTTGTGGACACATAAGTATCGTCAACACTGTAGTACTAAATCGCAACACAAACAGTTACAATCAAATTGAGTGCTCTCAGATGAATCATTACGTTCGCATAGACTCAATATAGTTCTTTATTATTGTCTGTGTATAATGATGTTGTTGGTTTAGATATATGCATATACAACGTTAATATTCCCAGTAATAGAATATAAAATACTAGCATTATTATTATTATTATTATTATTATTACGCTTGTATTGATACGCTGTACGCGTATACTATGCTCAGCAAATGTTTATCTGTGTTGCTGTGCTAAAAAACATTCCTTTTACATAAATATATCGCTTACTTAAAATTATCACTTTGTATTTCTCATCAGGAATAACTACGAATGGAATTCTTCCACAAAATCCAAATAGCAACCTCTTCAACACTATTACTTCACAAAATAACTTCATTTGAGCCAGAATGAATGAAATGATCCATCTAATTAAATACGAATCGAACGATACAACATAGCGAGTCTTACCATAACTACCAGCAGTCAACGTAAGATCGATTTGTGGCTTTGTTTGAATGCCTTCGATTTGATCGTATGAATCAGTTGTACCTTGACCGAAAACAACTTTCAATTGTTTTGATACAGGGTTGAAGTGAAGTGACATCGAATGCTCCTCACCATTGTTGGCTTCTATAACAGATGATCATTTCAAATTCGTCTTGTTGCTTTTCAGTATTCCATCTCCGGTCACCTCATTTGTAGAACAACTACAGTGTGGTGAGTAGTTGTTTTCTAGCAGTTCCTTATCAACTAGTATGTCAAAGACTTCCGTTATTGGTGGCTATACCAAACACCAATGATAGCTGAAAATTTTGACTGAGACTCGGTTGAGGATGAACTTATGGATGAATACTTCGGGTGATTCAGAAATGATGCAGGTCTTTAACACATGCTTGGTATATTAACTGTTTGTTCATGATTCAATCACAACACCTGGTAACTGACGATCGGTTCGCTTCAGCAACGAATCATCACCATTGGTAACGTCGATTATTATCGATGAACTTTGCACGTAAGCGGACAGCTGAAAGAATTGAATTTAGACTCATCTTCATCTTAGTTGAGAAGCAATCCGATCAAGATGATATGTCATTAAGAACTGGAATTCATCCGTGAATGTCCATAACTGAATTTAAAAATAGTCATTTTTAATCGTAATAAGATCAATCAATAAATAAGCATGAGCAAATATCGCTTCAATCAATTGTCTAGACACACTGCTATTGAAACAAGCAACAATACGAATGATTAACCGTAAACAGAGGGCTTCCAGTAGCTGCATCATTACCAGTTAAAGTAAATAGTCGTCCCTTAGATGCACGGGTTCGGAAACGAATCGGAACAATTAATTGATCGCCATCTTCTAAAATCAACAATTGAATTTCATTACAGGACTTTATCGAAGGTAGAAATCAACATCATCAGAAAACTATTCCTTAATTGCTGCACAAAATATGAAAATTTGAAACTTGACTTCAAAATTTGATGCATGATTGTTTTGCGTGATTACTATTTTGAATGGGAGAGTTTTCAGTGACCTGTTTTTTTGTGATATTTTCAAACTGAATTTACAGTTTTTCATTATTTCAGGCTTTTCAAACACTCACCACTCAAATTCCAAGCAATTGATGAGAGAGTCACAAATGATGTATCTTTCTGTAAAGTTAACAGTTTTGAGGGAACATCGTTTTGCGCAAACGCAGCTGAAGTGAAGAAGATGGCAAGAAGCAAATGTTTGAGGAGATTCATTACTTGTGTGACCCTGAAAAGTGAAACGCTCATGAAAGGAGAGCGCTAGAGTGTTTCTTCGTAAATGATCTAATATATACGGTAATAAGAGTGGTGCAATTGATTAATATGAGTTTGATTGATAGCATATCACGGAAAAGGTGAAGCGAACAGTATTCATGAAGTAAAGAAGCAGCTAAGGTGATAAGTGGTCGCATTGTAGAATACTCAAAAAGGAAATTGAATAGGATGGCTGTCGAAGTAAGGTGTGTACAAGCATGTGTACGGAAAGTGTCAACAGCTAAGCAGCGTCTTGCTTATATGAACAAATCATGGAACACCTCCGCAATTTAAGCAATGCTTACTGCTCATTCACTGTCTATCGTTTACCTGTCCTATTTCAACATCTTTGCATTATTCTTTGTGTGTAACTGTAATTTTGTCACTCAATAAACACATATTGATAAATCACCATTCCATCATTACTAATTTTTATGATCGATTCTCAATTAATCATACTCAACAAAAAAACCGACATTAATTCAAATATTTAAGAAAATTGAAATTCGAGGCGTAAGCATGTTGTTTGCATCAGGAAGTTGAGTTGAATCGAAAAAACGTCAACAATTCTTCAGATGTGAATAATTTTCCGATGTGTAATCATTCAGTGATGAAGTTTCGGTGATAAAAATTCCAGACTTCTTGTTTGATAATGACACATCCAAAGATGACAATTAATGTTTCGCCAGTTCGACCCAAATAGTACCAAATTTCTCAACTTAATCACTTTTCTTTTTCACGCACATAATTCGTTATTATTGGATTACGCAGGATATCAAATCCTCTCTGACAGTTCATGATCAGAGCTATATCCGTCAAGAAGTCTGAAATAAGTAAATCGAAAATGCTTCATAGATTTTGGCCGATTGTTTTTTTTTTCAGTAAAGCAAAATTCAACAATTCTATACCAGATTGTTGAATTTTGCTTTACTGCTGTAAATGGCTAAGTTAGTTAGTAATTGTCCGGTCATGAAGTGATTCTGTAGAAATAAAAACTCCGGAATGTGAACCGGATGAGTTTCTTATCAAATGATTGCAACATCTTCAACGTAAGCACTGACAATGCAGTCGGTTTTATTGTGTGCATAGTGTACATACCTTCGATAAATTCATATCAAGAGTGTGCGAATGTTATGATCACCATTGATATGTGTGTGTGTGTGCATTGAAACAGTTGATCATATTGGAGGTGTACTTGAACTGAAACTGCTATGAAATGAGCGATATGCTGTGCCATAGCATATTGAAAAATTGTTTTGAAAGCGGGACCAATCAACATGCACATAACCAATGATGGCTGCACTTAAATAGAAGAAAAGCAGTTGAAATATCCTCTTTAAAATCTCTCCATGAAGTATCAATCAGTGAAATCAAGAAGTCATCTGTTGAAATGTGTTCACGACAATTGAATGGTACAGTTTTGCAGCCGATGAGTAAATTTTTGCAGGTTCAATTCCCATGAGCAAAATGTTCTTTTTGCAATTTATTGAAATAAATCTATCTGTGTGCCGAATGAAGGGTACCGCATTTCACTGCTTATCATAATGTAGTAACGCATCTGATTCATTATGCCTGCTGCAAAAAAAAATTCTGGCAATTGTCATGTTCTGTTCAAGTTATCGAAAGTAGGCCATTAGTCTGTGCAATGTTGAGGTCTTTCTTCAAAACGTAGGAAACAAGGAAAACTTGGTACTACGTGTAGAATCATAATTGACAATTTCCTTAACATCCGTTTTCATGAAGTTGATGTTGTCGGGTTTAGAGCAACCCTAATGTTTAAAAAATGCAATGGTAATGGTAATAGAGAGGTTGGTTTAGTGTTCCTTTTATTGCGTGTTCTTAATGTAATCAACGCTTTTAATTGTTAATTTTTCTTCCTCTTTTTCGATGAGGAACAATTTTCTTGAGTGATTTCTGCGATCGAAATTTGGCAGATGAATTCAACTGGGTATTTTTCGAAGTGGAGTTGATATGAATAGAAAAGTTTCGGTGGTTGATCGTAAGCCAGTGAAGACAAAACACACACATACAATATCAATAAGATATCAAAACAACACTACTTATCAGTTCTGTTTTCGTTTCCATTACTCACACAGTATTCGTTATGTCGATTGGCTATGTCATCATTCTCTTATCATTCTCACTCGGCTATGTCGCCTTACTACTGTTCCACATTATAATTTAATTTTTGGCTTTCTTTCAACAAATTTTTATTTCATTTTGTATCACTTTTTGAAACGCTCAGACACTTTCTTCATGAAGTTCTTTTATTTCAAAGTGTGATTGTTAATTTACACACTTCGAATAGAGTGTCACAAAAGTATTGCAGTAGAGTCGTATGACATTGCTCTCTCCCTTTTAATTTTTTCAGAATACGATCAAAGTTCATCACAGTAAGAATCAGTGGCGTAGTCAGGAGTTTTTCCAAAGAGGAGGGGGACGTCTCTTGCGCTCCCCCTCCCTCTCAGGTACGCCACTGATAAGAATGCAATCGAAACACAAGCATTTTTTAAACCTATCACCTAGTGCTGTATCAAATCCAATCTGTCCACTTTTCAGCATACGATCAAGAAACATCGTTCCCGCGATCGAAAAATTCTACTTGTTTTTGTGGCCATATAAGGAACGTTCCATTTATCGTCATCAATCTTTACTCCACCGTTTGATAGCATTTAACTAATTAGTTTCAGAAGAAGCATGCATAAAAGAAATGTGATTATTACGGATATGCGAAGCATATGGAATATCATAAACAATAGATCGATTTCCATAATAGTGCCAATGATTCATATTGAGTATAACGATCACTCATCTTCTGAGGGTCACTTCAATTTAGATTTCTAAAAATTTCTTCTTTCTATTCCATAGGCGACCGATTTGAGCCAAAATAAACGGAAAGTTCTACTATTGTTCCACACTCATTTGTTACCGGTCTCTGTCGCAATCTGTGAATGGTTCTTAAGTTATTGATGCAAATCAAATATATTTTTCAGCAGCTAATGGAGTGAATTCTGAGGAAAACTTCATAAGATGACATTGGAGAACAAAAGTTCTCTAACTTCCGTTTCATTGCACATAATCCAGCACACGTTTTCTAGTATAACGAAAATTTATTGATAGTTATTGACATATTAACAAAAAATGATTATATATTGAGTCCAATTGAATCTCAAGAACATCTCATGATTGAATTCAATTTTTGTTGCACCACAAGAAAAAATGATTATATATTATTCTAAAGATGTAATAAAGTAGAACAAGGTTTCAACCTGAAGCATATTGCAAATCACATAAACAGAAAAGACGAAAACCTAAAAGGTATATTCCTATCAACTGCCCCATTCTTACAGTCAGAAAGAACAATTTATCATTAGACTTTTCCTCTAGTCGAGAACTGTTAATAGAAACAAACTAATATGATTGATGATGATAAGATTTCATGAAATATTCAAATGTATTTATGTATTTGTTTTTATGTACTTCAATATTATGAATGATTCGATAGTACGCGACATATAGGAATCTGTTACGTTATTCAAAAAAATTCCTTTCGTATTATCTTATTTATCAGCGTAGCAACAACAATCGTAAGAGTTTAATTGAACAACATCAGATAAGTCATCGTTGATTATGGAAGTAAAAAAACCAATCATTCATTTAACTATTGAGTGCGGAACAAATCTTACCACTCAAAACTAGGTATAATATCCGATGATGCGTTCGAATTGAATAAAATGGACATCGGTTATGAATAAAGTACTTGGTCATTATCTTATGATCGCTGCATCTGTTTGACTCACGAAATTTATGCAACTTTTCATATTGTTTGTTTGATCGATAAGCATACAACAGCGTTGAATAGCATTGAAACATCATTTTACAGCACCGAAACATCGCGCAATATGGACGATTTCTGGTTGCAACTGTTATTCGCATTAGCGATGTTGATTACAACACTGCTTGCTGGGCTTGCTCCTCTTAAGGTTACTTGTCACTCCAATAACACTTAGCCGTCATTTCTTCAAAACATCTGACGAATACACCAGTCTCAAAAAGTAAAACATCTAACGAATACACCAGTCTCAAAAAGTCATAATGGATGTTTATTTGCATGGAATTTAATAAATACTCCAGCATTCAATCAAAAGTGTATGCATAAGAATGCATTTTGCCGTGCTTTATGAAATCCTTATATGAATCTTTTTGATGATTAGCCCGTTAGGATATTGTTTATGATGATATGTAGCAAGATTCATTCAAATCAAATATCCAAATCGAATGCAGTTAATTAATTCAGCTGCTCACAGCGATTATGAGCAATGGACGAACGACTCATAAAGTAGCGTGTTCACTCAGTTTGCTTTCTTGTTTTGCTGGTGGAGTATTCTTGGCGACATGCTTTTTGGATGTCATTCCACATGTTAAGTAAGTCAAACGAAGTTGTATTCATTTTAACTGAAACAGCGTTTACTTTTGTTTGATTTATTTTAGCAAGAGTCGCTAACTATCTCACAATCAATACCAAGCTTTGAGCATTCATGGATGTAATTCATCCGTTTTCACTGATTTTTGCCATTCCACTTCTGGGTTGATGGGTTATTCGTGAGTTTTGCTGTTCAGGTAATGATTATTTCCAATGTAACGATTGTCACTTATTGATGATTATTTAAATTTCAGTTCAAATTTTCGCATGTTCAATAAAAACTCATCGTTAAATACGGTTTATCCACTGCCAGAATTACTCTTCTGTGTCGGCTTCTTTCTAGTTTATCTTATAGAAGAAATTTGTTCACGGCTAATATCTGGCAGTACGCCTACCTCACAAACATCATCTATGTATGCCTTTTTTTCATTTATATTTTCCATTATGCTGACTTCAATATCAATCAATCGCTAATAGTCTTCGCGAACTGTTTATCCTTCAGTGAACCAACAAAAGAACAACAACAAGCACTCACTCAAATTGAGGAATCTGTACGATGCAATCGATCTCATTCAAACGCACATCGAGACGACATCGACTCAATCAGATGTGGACGAATGCGTAAAATGTAACTGAGCATTAACTGAACATGCATTTTCAAAAATATTCCTTAAATCAACACCATTGGAAAGAAATCATGTCATCAAATCGATCCCCCCATTTCCGCAAAGTGATCAGATTCGACTAGCATTTTCAGAAACAACAAAATAAGTTTATAACTATTTTCAGGTCTTCAATCGCTGAATCGTTGAATAAAACCGAAACTGTTACATTGCAGTCGATAACGTTCACAGTTGCGATGTCGTTTCATTCAATTCTCGAAGGACTTGCGCTTGGAGTGCAAGTACTCACTGATATTGATGCGATAAAATATTTATCATTTATTCATATCAGCAATGATTTTCCATATTGTGTTTATAAATGATATTGCGCCTAAGCCCGCTTCAACATCCATTAGCTCATTCAAATTCCGTTGCCTGAAAATACTTAATTCACGCTGAACTCAGTTGATCCACTCGAAAATTCATGCAGCAGACAACTTCGATATTTCAGACCAAGTCGATTAATCAGTTTTTAAAGCTTGTATATATTTATAAATAACTAATTCTTATCTCAGTATTACTAACAAAAAACTTTGACGAAAACCTTCGCGACAGAATTCTGATCATTTACTAAGTTGAATCAATCAATTGGCATACCAGTACTATTGAACTCACGTTCTTCTCGTGGTTCCTTTTCGTTCTCGTAGAAATTGAAATAAAAAGTGGCATGTTCATATGAATCAACTCGAATACTGCTTTTGAATGATGCAAGTTGCCTTTCTCTTAAGGTGTAATAGTTATTATAAAAGAATTTCAGGATGATCGAATGGCCATAACGACATTGTTCATCTCACTGATGCTACATAAAGGTATTGAGGCGTTCAGTGTTGGATTGCAGATTGCGAAGTCGAATTCTCAACAAATCAAAATTGCTGCGTTAACGATCTTCATTTATTCCTTAATGACACCGATAGGCTCACTTATTGGCGTTTATATTCAGGTTTTACCAATGTTTTATCAATATTTTCACGCAGTTATATATCTTAAATTCAACGATTCAAGAGACCCTGCGAAGTGCGCTAATTAGCCGCCGTCTGGTTGTGATAAATATAGCGCTTTAAGGAGCAGTTTGATTTAATTACTGAAATATTTGATGTGATATTGATAAGAGACGACTGTCCATTGAAGTACGATCAACCACGGTTCATGAATGCGTTTCAGAGTGCCAGTATAAGACCAGTTTTGAAAGAAGGACTCATTTTCGTACTCGAGGCGCTTGCAGTGGGAACCTTTATTTATGTTACTTTCTTCGAAGTCAGTTCTTACCTCTTTTCTTTCCAGATAATTCTATAAAGATACAAAGCTGATTACTGCTTCATTCACTATTTTAAAAGAACCATTCAACTCTAATTTCTCTCATTTTCGCAGAATTTCAGGTGCTGGCGGAGGAAAAAGCCAATGAATTCTCAAATATCGTACAACTGTTTGCAATCATCGCTGGTTTCAGTGTGATTGCACTTTTCCAATTTGTTGAAATTCTGGTTACTGGAACCGAATCACATTAACCACATTCGTTGTATACAATTCATTTTGCGTTGATAAATCTAGCAATCCAAAACATTCATAGTAAATGGAATAACCAAAGTATAACTCAGTCAATTATTCATATCTCCACTTTGTTAACACACTTGCAAATTTAGAATTTTTCATTGTTCGACAAACAAAGATTTAATACATTTTGATGAAGATTATCATAATTGTATGAAATTTGAGTTGAAATACACGGATTGACCATAAGTAATCTTTATAAAGCAAATGTTTCTCATTCCTTGTACGCCTAAGGCATTTGATGAATCAGATCCTCAATCAAATAAAGTTTCTTGTAGCTTTTTCAAGATGATACTACTCACTGTCACTTTATAATCAAAACAACACCACTGAATTGGGCAATCGTTCGAAAATACTAGGACAATAGGCTAAATTCTGAAAAGAACACATTTTGCCATGGACAATCTGTCATTTACGCTCAACTAAGGGATGAGAATAACGAAGACAAACGAGAAGTTTATTTGATTTGGACGGAGAAAACTAAAGAAACATAAAAAAGACCGTATAACAATAGCTGCATGGAATGATAACTTTTGAAGAATCATCGTAAAAAGAACACAGCCATACTTACTAACCACGAAATGTATCGTGCAACACAATTCAAATTGATCATTTCAACACCGCTATATATACATATAAACGAATAAACTCTGATATCAAGAAAATAAAACCCTCAAAAACAAAAAAATCAATGAATGATTCTTACACTCAAACGGCTAACGAATATGAAACGGTGTCAATAGAAACATAAATTTCAATATAAACACAAATACTGCCACGAAAAATGAAGTTGTACAAAATAAAGCATCACTGGGAATTATGACTTACAATTAGACACAAATTTTAGTTAACAATTTCTTTCAAAATTTTTTGATGTTATCTACGTTCACCGGGATGCAGCAACAATGGTTACTCATAATGGAAGAATACAGTTATTGGCGAGGAGGAACGAATGATAAAGAATTCAATTAAGTACTGTCAAACTGATCTATCTCACAAACAATCTGCATTAAATCTGAAAGCGCATTACACAATTGCCGTAGTAGAATAAATAATAATTATGAACATAAAAAATATAAAGAATCAAATGTTAGTGAACTTGAAAAAGATCAATAAATACAGTAAGACAAAATAAAATGCTCTTGAATAGGTATGTATTCTAATTGAAAACTTCGAGTATTTCCAGATATTTGTTCAACGATCCCAATTAGGTGATTGAAATAATTCAGCGAATAACTTAGTTAAAATGAGTACGAAGAGAGGAGAACAAACAAGATCAATAAATGGTTAAACAGTTGAAGTATCGATCAATCAGTTGAAGCTATTAGCTGAACGTCACTTTCCACATTTCTTTGGACCAATAACTGACGCTGAACGAGCGCTTTGTAGATTCCATTCTTTTGGATCAAATCAACATGTCGTCCTTGCTGAAAGCACGCAAAAAAACAATGATCTCTTGACTTAAAAACATCAGTGTGATGGATGATGAAAGAATGAAATCACTACCTGCACAATGGTACCGTTATCGATAACAATGATACGATCTGCCTTCTCGACTGTACTCAATCGATGCGCAATCACAATGACTGTTCGCTGCTTCGAACACGCAGCTATTGCCTCCTGAACGATGTGCTCATTCTCGGAATCCAACGCTGACGTCGCCTCGTCAAGTATGAGTACGGCTGGATCACGTACCAATGCACGCGCTATTGCTATTCGCTGTTTCTGACCTCCTTAAATTTATTATTGCCCACTCATTTACAACAACACCCATCATAATATATCAGACTAACCCGACAGTTGAACGCCTTTTTCACCACAATTTGTATCATAACCATTCTCTGTTTCCATCACAAAATCATGCACATTCGCCATTTTTGCCGCTTTTATCATAGCCTCCTCAGTACCGTTTTCTTCCCAACCATACAATATATTGTAACGAACGCTACCCTCATACAGAATTGGCTCTTGTGCAACCAGCGCTATCTGAACCGAAAAGTTACCAAACACAGTAGATCACGTTGTACGGATGTGAAAAAATAAACAAGCAGATTGCAAACGATAATAACTGAATTGAATACGCACCTTTTGATGAATATATTCATGATTAAAATCACGAATCGAAACGTTATCGATGAATATATCACCGCTATCCGCGTTGTAAAAATGCTCGATCAATGCAACTATTGATGACTTACCACCGCCACTTGGTCCAACTAGTGCGACCGTTTCACCGGGATCAATTGTGAAGCTCATATCCTGAATCATTAGAAAATATAAATATGCTAACTACATTTTCACTTTTAAATAATCTGGCAAACTGATATACATATACAAGACTTAAAGGTGCTCGTCTCTTGTCAACGCATATTGTAATAAATGAGCAATGGGAAAGCGGCCAGAAAACAGCTAACTTTAAGCACTCTATTGTTGGGTCTCGAAGGATACGTAAACGAGACTCGATCGAATCGTACCGAACCACTCACTGAACACTTCAATACTCCCGTATTCGCAACTGCTGGTTCACGCGACATATATTCAAATACCTTACGCGACGCACCAACACTCTCCATTAGACCAGCGAAAACCGTGCCAAGATACTTAAACAACCACAATTACGAAGGATCGTATCTATTCGAATCAAGTTCACCATGAAGCTTTCCTCTGACTACACCTGATGAGACAACAACAGATTGAAGCTCAACCAACGATTCAAAAGCAAGAAGCAAAATTCGCAAACAAAAAATTAATTTACATAAAGATTTTCTCCTAGTTGCATTTGATACAGGAGGAACGCAATAAGATTATCAGCTGTCATTCGCCCTAAAACAAACCATAAAAATTATCTTGTAAGAGAAACGCTGAGAAATGAAAGCAAATAATTAAAAAAGTGAATCAAAGGATGAACGAACCAGAAATGACCAGATGACCTCCGTACAGAAGTACGGCCACTTCGATAACATGATCACAACCAGCATTTGTCCACGTATATCCAATAAATGCAGTACTGCGTTTTTTACTAATCTTCACCACGTCGTCAAGACTGTTTTCGAAACGAGTCGCCTGCTTCTTTTCACATGCAAACGATCGAACCGTCCGCATTGTACTCATCACTTCTTCAGCTATTTGATTCGCACACGCAATCATCGAATGTGTCCGTTCCGACAATTTCTTCAAACACATATTTTGAAGATTCAAATGCAAAGTGAATTAATAATAACTCATCAATAAATGTTCTACAGCCTGCAATAAGAAAAACAACTGCACATCAACAACCACAATGTCAACCATGTTCAAACTAGGCAAATAACGCAAAATTTCACAATTCAGAAACTATCAATGCATCAAATCAATCAGTCGTTAACATATAGAAGTGAATGAGCACTTACATCATAATAAATGCCATAAGTTCTTGTTGCAAACGCAACAATTGGTACAATCATAAACGTGACCATCGTTAGACGCCATGAAAGGACGAACATTATCACCAAGGCACCGATCAACATCAAACCATTACGCAGAAATGTATTCAGATTTGTTGAAACTGTTGATGACATCGTTGCACAATCCGATGTCAGACGAGACGTGATTTCACCTAAAGTTGTTGATGTAATCGAGAGACCTCTGTTCTTAGTTGGTATTATAAGCGACTCAAAAAAGATGAGTTTCAAAGAGTTGAGGATTGATGAAATTACAGCATGGAGATCGCATACTGCTTATACGTTTTACCGAATTAGCGTTGCTAGATCAACCTGTTTTGGTGGTATCGAAGAAGCCAATTTCTTGCTTGACGAGGGATCGAAATAAATCACAACGCATCTGTCGATTCACAAGTGCTGTGGCATAATCGAAACATCCGCCCCGCAGACCATCGAAAAACACACTAGAAATTAAATTGAAAACAATGATGATTTTCGCGATTAATATCAAATGATTTACGCATTTGATGATTATTTTGCATAAGGCGGTGCACTCTTAACTTAATGGTAAAATAATGAAAGAATTTATGAATGGATATAAACTGAAGGAAAATGAATGCAACAAGTTACGTAATAAACGATAAGACAGCCATCCAAATAACCGATCGCACCAAATCCTGATAACCTCGTGTTTGTACGATATTTGCGATCACCTGTCCAGTAAGATATGGGAGAAAGATTCGTGCTGCAATAAAAACATATTAGCCTGTCACTGAATTGGCACAAGTAAGGTTCAACTAATAAGGCTCATCGAAGCTTCGAAGAATTAACTCCAATATTTGACTGTTCAATAAGTCCTTGAAGATATCAACTGAAAATTTAAGAAATAATGATAAATTCGCTGAAGCAAAACCAACCAACAGACTGTATGATGAGGAAGATAAAACCGGCAGTGAACCATTTCCACTGAGCCTTACAGTACTTAAGCAATGCAATGGCATGATCGAATGTGCTTTGACGTGATGAATCAGAAAGAGTTTGTTGAGCACTAGTATCATCACCAGTCACAGACCCATCGCTAGAATACTCCATGAGAGCGGCGTAGTGCCATGATGCACTTGACATGAGCACCAGCTGCCATACGGCCAACAGTAGAACAGTGGCAGTTATGTTCCATAAAACCGATAGCCATGGACCAGCACAATACAGAATCGCTGATGCATGCTCAGAGAACGCTAACAGTTTTATAATTGAGAATGCCCACGAAAACAAGCTGAACGGTAAGAGCACTAATATGAGTTTCTTCAGTTGGCTATCATCAAGAACAATCTTTACGAGAACAGCCACTGCGAGAATAAACAGTCGTAGGTTTGTGATTACTACAAAGTCGATAGGTGTTTCCGTAAAGCTATACCCGTCAAGAAGTAGAAGATACTTGAAAATTAGAGAAATATCGAAGCCTCTCTTAGAGCAATTATACAGCGCAAGAGGCAAAATGCTAAAGCTGACATCCAGGAATAAATATGCGAATACGAAAGTTAATGCGTGCCAACGCCGCATCACTGCTGATCAACCCTGCTCGAGCTGATCGATGAATGCTGCAAGATATTTATCGTTCACTTGAATCACTCACTGTCACGATGATGAGTCATCAACACTGATAAAGTGAGTCACATCACCTTTTGGAAGAACACTTAATCATATTCACAAGTGTATATGATTTTTTAAAGTTTGAATATTACCAAACGATAACGTTTTTTAAAGTAGACAATGCTGAAATTAAGTGTTGACAAAGGATAAGCAGTGAAACAATCTAATTTGAATTTGAAGTAATAGAGAAGCTAACACCTAGAGAAGGAGTGAACTTCTTCGAAATCTCGAGAATACGCTTTACGCATGAGTGAGCGCTGACGCTGGTTAAAGCCACATTAGAATGCATCGGACAACTAGTCAGTGTCGCTGATCTATTATTTTTTTCGATGCTTTCAAGCGCAAAACGGTTGTGGCTTTAACTTGGCAAAAAGGTTGGCTTACTCTTCTCATAAATTTCACATTCAGCAAAAAGTGTTATGCATTCCGAATTTGTTTATTACCGAATAATCCACCTGATAAGCAGTAACCATGCATATGAGTGATCATCGCAACATCGATATGCCATTGTCCCAAATAGACACTGGATGTTGGTGACACTGGTGATCTTACTTATTTTAACGTTGAACAGCACAGGGAACGAAATGATGCGCTTATTACAGAATAATATTGATAATATCATCGTGAATAACTGATACTCGTGTTTTTGGCATCTCACTTAACTGCTGTACCTTTCAAACGTGATCAAATGAGAAAGAGTTGAATAAAGTGAATAATCACTCTGTGAAAAAAAAAAATTACGAAAAAAGTAAACGACGTGGCCAAAAAAGCAAGCAAACGAACACATTCACGTATTTTCAAATCACGTTTGGATTCTTTTCTGCTGATAGTATTATCACCGTTATACAACCGTTGTAGCACTTTACCCAGTGAACAGAAAAAACGATCGTGCATTCACATACCGCTTTGCCGAAACTCTCTGAGATGGGCTCATTTCATTAAGATTGCCATTCAGCAGATTTAAGTGTAGTTTGAACGTTCGCACTTGCAACCGCCTTAAAACTACTGCTTGCTTGGCGCGGCGCATTTTGCGTTGGTCACAATATATTGACTAACTTTAAAAAATTTTTTTTTTCGAATATGCAACATTTCCAATACCTTGTCAAGTGAATGCTTCGTCTTTGTTTGAAATCTGAATCTATTATCGCGGTGAATGAAAAGAATTGTTGAGGTGCTTTCGAATTTCAGTGTAAAATGGCATCTTCTTCGTTGACGTTTGCAATGATTAAGCCAGAAGCAGTTGCGTTTCCCTACATTGCAAAGGTTTGCTGTTTCAGTCTCACTTCGATCGTCTCCTACTTTAGATGTGCACAATTCAAGAACCTTTGTCATGATCTAGTTTCGAGGCCTAAGCCTTAATCGAGCGAATGGAGTTGAGTTTCGGTGAGGTACATTTTACAGGTTGACTCAAAATTGTTGTTGCTAACAGTCAAAAAGATCGCTCGTTGTCGATTCATCTTTGCATTGCTTTATACCACTTGAACAGCACCATTCCGAAACGATGCTTATTCGATGTTATAGCTTTAGAACAGTGCTTTTTTGATGTTAGTTTTCAGAAAATCAATTTTTTTAAACAATTCATTTTGAATGAGCATCAATTCTGCAAGCATTTAGTTTTAGTATAAGACCACAAATAATGAAAAGGGTGTAACATAATGAATGAGTTCATGGTGAACGATTTTCTTGCATTCAATTGTTCAGTGATCAGTCAGTTAAAAATACCGTTGACTGTACAATGAAGTCGCCCATACATTTTATTCGATGACTGTAATGAAAAACAAGAAGCACTTCAAACGAATATCCTTAACTCCGTATCATCAATTTTTGAATTTGCTGAGTGCCATTTCAGTTTAATTTGATACGCATGTTTAAAACAATTAGTGCATTGTGCAACGTAATGCTAAGTTTATGAGGACAGATGCGAAAACGCTACATGGATTGCTGACTAGTTATAAAGCACGTACTCATAATGAAGTAAGCTTATTGAAGCGAGAGTTTAGTCAGGAGATGGATTGCTGACTAGCAGCATGGTTTAATGCCACCGTCTTATAGGCGCATCCTATCTCAATTACTTCTTTTATACTTTTCAAAACCTTTTATCTATTTATTCATTTATGTATGCGTGAGTGAAAAACATAATAAGCATTTATATCAGTGGTTTCTGATTGCCGACCCTGCTCGCAGGAAGTTAGTTTGGAGCTTATTTCGGATTTGATTAAGAATGTTAGGTCCAAACTAGTGTTCGTCGGGGAACGGGGTCCCCTTCGGGGACCCCGGCGGGGAACGCGGGGAGCGCTCCCCCCG